ATAGCTACGGCAGGAACAAAATAAGGATAAGGTGGTTTATAGTCAATAAGTCTGACACTCCCTCTCCTTTCTCTCCATTCAGAGCAAGAGAAATCATTAGATGATTTTCAGTCGTCTAATATAATAAAAACAACTAGCAGACCCAGCCACGCGTTGCTGTGGCTAAGGTAAATAATATTGTGACTATAAATTGAGATGTAAGCTATCCTATATTTGAAGTTGGATCAAAATGCACACGGAATGCAAATCAAATTTAAAATCGGTTTAGGAGTCAAACACGTGACACGAAATATTTATATATAAAAGATAAAAGTTTCATCTATACTGACACCTTTCAAGAACGATCAGGATGATCCTATATTAAAGTAATCTACAAAGCAATACCAACAGGCACAATTGCTAAACAAGGAAATTATTTTATTTAACATTTTTATAATTGGATTGGAATAAAATCGTATTTTTATATTGGATTGTGCTTCAAAGGCGCAGATGGTACACTCAGTACACTAGAGATATTATAAGTGCACTGCCGGTCTTTTGTAAATTCGATTTTGTGTCTATTATAAACTTACATACACGATAAAACATAACGTAAGTGTTGGTAACATGCTGGTTTCCTGTAATGCGATGGTATCATCCAATCGAGCCAACCTATTAATGTTAAAGTATGGCTCTTCACATTGCAATAATTATCAGTAGTTGAAATTACCACCAAGAAGGCGAGTCGGAAACTTTCAACGCAAGCACCCAATCCATTAATCACACCAACACGTAACGGAATCTCAGACAATTTCGGATACAAGCTTGTCCACTAAACCTTAACGTCGGCAAACTTAACCTGATTCCGATATTAGTCTTGAAAGCATAATACAATATAACATAGAAAGCACTCGTGTGAAAGTGATTGATTGCCAATCTGCCCCATTTTACCGTTCATCGGACGAGTGAGTGGGAACCATTCGAGTTAATACATAAAATTGCCGCAAAAAGCCGACGAAAATAAAATCAAACAATATTTCTTAGCCTGTTGCTTCGTGAGATATTGTTCCTTGTCATGTAGGCATTGATCTAAATGTAAGTAATTTTCTTTCGGAAATATCTTGTTACACGACTAAGTGCGTTCTTTCAGAATGTACCTACTCGTACCTACGGTTTGCACATCAATTTGATTTCCGAATACTTTTGTTAAATATCAAAGATAATGATTCTATCCAATACATTGTGTTGCATTTCGCCAAGCGAATGAGGTTACCTAATAACCGATCCCAATCCATCCCCATTCCCCAATCCCGAAATCTTAAATATTTTAGATTTCAAGCATTTAAATCAAAAGATCGGCGGCGCACCTATTGTGACAATTTTTGTTGTGTGGCAAAGGTATCTGCAGCTGTCTGTCGATGTATCCCATAAAAAAATACTTGAGAAATCTCGAAAAGCAAAAGTTTGCTTTTAAAATCGTTGTTTCAGTTCAGGGTGTAATAAGTACCTATGTTACATTGTTATATTATGTCTGTAATAACACTCATATCACAGTAGAAAATCTTGCGCAGGATATCGTTCGTAAAAAAACTCGTTTTTATTGCAATATACTTACCAGCTTAAAAACCTCTACAAATAACCCGCAGTTAATACTGTTAAATAACTATAAAAAGATTAAATCAACAAGTTGCCCTTTCATAATAATATTTAAACAGGTATACATTTTTAATCCCTTGATTAGCTTGGACTTGCTCCTAGCGATTGGCACCTTAATCCCAAAGTAATTAACATCGAGCGAGTAGGAAATCAACGTCTTTAGCATGTTTATTGATTTGCCGGATATTAATATGCTGACTTCATTACATTGCTAAATTGAATAAATATTCAATTAAAGAAGTTAAAGAAAAACAACTTTTTATGTGATAGGACGGTAAACAAGGAGACGGTTTACCTGATGGTAAGCAATCAGCGCCGCCCATGGACACTCGCAACAACAGAGGAGTTACGAGTTCGTCGCCGACCTTTTTGGGTTTAGGGATTAGGAGATTTTTGGATTGTTCACTCACACGGCGAAACACAACGCTGTAGTTGTTTCACACCAGTTTTCTGTGAGGCCGTGTAATCATTCCGGTCGAGCCGATCCATTCGTGTCGAAGCATGGCTTTCCCACACTTAAACATTTATTATACTTCATCTGAATTCGGCTTCCGAATTCTTCTAGCATTCTTAAGAATAGGCTTTTAAATTTTGTCCAGAGACATATAAAAATACTGCAAGAAGAAAAATGGACTCGTCGCAACTTTAGGACCCAATTTATACAAAATTTATTCTTGTCAAAAACTTTTACTTCTAAACAAAAAGCTTTTTTTCTGCTACATCCGCTTAAAGACGACGACGACATCGCTGAGAACATTTAACTAAATCCGAATCTAAATAAGGTTTCCAACCAATGATTCTCAAGCACTTTGCTTTAGTAAGCCAGACTTCAAAGAGTAAATACGAAAAGATTTTTAGATCTGTCTGAGTACCTACATATAATAATGTCAAAATGTGCTTTTCAATTCGACATTACACAACATCAATTTCCTCTTAGCAAGAAAATGAATGATACATATACATAAATATAACCAACATATTTCAATAATACGAAACTAATCCAATAAATAACAAATATAATAAGGAACAATATATTTCCTATCGAATACACGAAAACAAGATACATTTCTGTGAAAAGGCAACAAAGACACTCGTTGCTTTAGGCAAATAAATAGCATTTTCATAGACAAAACAATTCCTTCATATTTTTTCTTCTCCTCATGGTAAAGGTGGTTACACAATACATCGCCGCCGAGCCAATATCCGCTTACCATAAGGCACTCCACACTCGAATAAACATTGATTAATCTCTCCCCTTCTTTCATCTCGAGCGTGATTAAAATACTTCTCTATAAAAGGATAATGGACCTTTCAAGAAAGGCTTTTAGTTATTGTCCTTTGATAAGGTGGTCGATTGGATTTCATAACGTACGAAAGTATGTATAAAGATTGTGTTAATATCAATTTCAGCTTAGGACGTCATATTTCGCTCGAATCTTCGCTCTGCCCTTGAATTAATAACAAATCACATCATACCGGGCTCGTAGGTGCTGGAGAATGTATATCTAGGTATGTATCTAAGGCCTATAAAGACTTGAAATATTTATTTAAGGACTAAAAGGCCTCGAGTCTAAAAGCTCGCTTGAATGTACTTTAAACAATATGCGCCTATTTCTTCTGAAGAAATTTAAACTAAAAATCATCGAACATTTTTATTGAATTGTTATAATATGAGATTCGGAAACCACGCTTCAATTAAAAAAAAATGTTTTTTATCTATAGGTAATTAGAAATTTAACAACACATCTTCTTAGGTAATCAATTAACTACCTAAGCTTTAGCTTGTAATAGGTAGGTTGGTACGTAAATAAACAGATGGGTATAAAACCGCAACCACAAAACGACATTCCAGCCTCTAAAATTCTGTGTCGTAATTGCGCTGTCCCAAACATTATGTAGCTTCAAAAGTCCGCCCCGAGACTACAAAAGTACCGTCGTACTCGAAATTAAGTTTACAAGTTATAAAATGTTAACAATCGTCCACAGAAGAATTTCTTGGTAGTGGTAATATAAAAAAAGGGATAAAAAAATTTACTTACTACATTTACGGGCTGCTCTCCTAGTCAATATTAAAAGAAATATTTTTTAACCTAGAAAAAAATCCTATTTATGGTATATATAAATCCAATAACGGGTCTACTAATATTTGTACGTTTCCAGATATTTGATTTCGAATGCCAATCTTATAAGATTTTTTTTTGGCAACACCGATATCTGTGTCTTGGGCCAATATTATGCGAACGCCGAGTGTTGAGGGTCGACACCGGCGAAGGTATTTTTTTTTCTTTTTAGTGTATATGTACTATATATATGTATATGTATTACAACATTTATGATGTATATGTAATATCGATCTGAAGACGAAGAAGAAGCTCTGAAGACCAATGCATATGGATTGGTCTTATTAGATCATAATTAAAACATTTTTATCCAAATATATAATGGCATCACATCGGTCTAAAGCTAATCCGCTTCTATGGTTTTTCTTTTCTAATATAGCACGCATAGATAATCTGTTGCAGGTATATGTTAAAGTTTCATCAAATTAATATCAAAGATAATAATTTGATGAAATTATTATCACTATCAATCTGGCTGAATACGTATCCAACATAAATGCCTCCGTTCATATATTGAAAGCAAATCATAGCTTTGTAAATATCTAGACACGTAAACGAATGTTGATACTTTACAATCAAATAACAAAATGATCATGATCATACAATCGAGCTACATACAATTGTTTCAAACTTTCAAATATGCTAAACTGTTGCTCAACAACTCCCGTTCAGTGACCATATTATTATATTGAATAGTGTCCCTTTCATTGTAGGCGTAATGCCTACCTACCGCCAACCAACTCATATGTCGTACAAAAGAGTCCCAAAAGTTCGGGTGATCGTTTGGAAGCGCTCCGACAAAATTTTTAATTTGCCGATGTTATTTTTTGTAAAAAATATGGGTACAGAGTTTAGAAAATTCGATTGGGAACTTAATGTTTCTTTAATTGCATTCAATCTTTTTTAAAAACAATTCAATTAAGTTGTTAATGTAAAAACACACTCGATTTGATTAAAGTCAAAAATATCAGGCAATTTGCAAAAATAACAGTATATGAAAAAGCTAGATTTCTGTTCTAATATCTAAAAAATCTTGACTAAAGTAAGAAACCTAACTATTTTTAGTATATCCTTCAAACTATTCACAAACAAGCACCCGAACAGTCGTAAAGTACAAACAAAAAATTACAGCCAAGAACTAATCAAACAACGAAAAAAAAAAGTTGGCGAAAACTTTCGGCCAAAAACAGCGAGTGTTTGACGAGATAATTTGATCTCTGTAATTATTACTACGTCTTTACTTACCGGGGTCGTGTTCCCGCGTTATTAGTATTGAAGTCGTAGAAGCGATACGTCTGCCCGCCAATACAGCGTGCCGCGTTGTGTTATTCAGTATCTCACTCCCTTTCGTGAATAGAATAATGGCGACGCTTTCCAGGGCGCATGTGCGACCCTATGACGTCAATGGTTTCGTTCAAAAAGCATACAGGTTGGTGTTTTATATACCGCAGTTGGCGCGAGCGCGTGATACTAATAGCTTTTAAGTTGGTCCGCAATTTTTATGTTGTACTTCGGCTTCGTTTGAGTACTTGCGGTAAATTGAAGGAGTTTTCCACAACGCTTCCAAAAATACGACGCATAATTATTATTTTTATAAGAATACGAGTAAGATTAACACGGGTGTATGATCATTGTCGTTGTTTTGATGGTTCATTTATTTATTGAAAAGTAACCTACGAATTTGTCCGTTGGTTGGGAAAAAGTCTTTTCGCATTATAGTATATAGGAACTTGTAATAAAATCTTGTATTGGTATCATTGAAAGATTAAATTTTAAATTCAAATTATCCAAATTGTTTTTAGTTTGTCAAGATAAGTGAGTATAACGAAAAAATTCGTGCCATTTAAATGTTTTCGTTTTCAATCCGGAAACGTTGAAGTCATGCACAACGCTCTGGTCGCCCTAATACGGATAAAATGAATAATCAAACGGTCCACTTTTGAAACAAATTTACAAGATCGGCATATCGGTAGTTACCACGATGCTAAAGATTACTGGGAATCGACCAAAAAACAGTTTCGGCGCATTTGACAAAAACAGGGTACATGAAAGCTTGATATCTGGGTAGGTACCTCACGAGCTCACTGATAGAAACTCAATGAACCGTATACTAATTTGTGGTTCTTTATTGCGACGTAATGAAACCGAACCATGTTTGAGGAAGCTGGTGATGAAAAGTGGATTACGTATAACACAAGCGTAAGGAAAAGGTCTTTTTCAAAGATCGGTCAGGCATCACAGACTGTGGCGAAACCCGGGTTAACTCGTAACGAGGTGGTGCCGTGTGTGTGTAAGGTGGGATTGGAAGGCCAATATTCATTATGAGCTTACCATCATGCAAGACCACCCTGAACTCTACTGTATACAACGGATGAGATTTATGCAAGAAGTTGAGAGAAATTGGCCGGAATTAATCAACAGAAGGGGTGTGGATTTTCATTATGACAACGCTAACCCTCCCACATCTTTAGCCACTCAGCAAAAAATAAGAAATTTTAGCTGGGTGGTGTTAATGCATTTGCCGTATAGTATTGACCCTGTTCCATGAGATTTCCACCTGTTTCAATCTCTACGGAATTATTTCACGAGAGGACTGAATTCTTAAGACTTCTGATTTTGATCAGAAGTCTCAAAATTTCTATAGCAATGGGCTCGTATCCGTATCGTATCGTAAAAAATGGTTACAACTATCTACGTGTTCGATATTCAAAATAAAACAGAAATAACTTGAAAGAAAACCTCTGTCTAAATTAATTAACACTAAGTTCTATCTTGTTTCATAACTTACGAAATTAAATTAAATTTATAGGATTCGAATTTTTGATAAACGCAAGAATAGTTGGATACCCTCGGTGTATTCTCTCTATTTATGTAATCTCTCAAAGGATTAGGTACCGCTGCTAGACCCGGTTGTGGCGAACCGTGCTCAACATGTAAGCAAACTTCTTCGTCAGGCAGGAACTCATACGTAAGTTTGTTCTGTGGAACATTTACTTAGTACTTGTTTATGCTTGTTAATGAGCGTAGTACCTATCTCTATTACGCCATTTTGATACTAAAAGTAGCTAAATATATTTCGGCTGTTCGAAGCCATAACATATTTAAAAATGACTCTATCTAGATTTAATATTAGCATTTCTTGCTTATTTCAAGAATTAAATCTGCTTTTTGTAACAAAAACGAAAAATTACATAGTGTTGTCAACACACAATCCCGTAAAAGTCATCTTACTTATATTATAAATACGAGTTATGAGGTTTGGATGTTTGTTACTCAATCACGCCAAAACGGCTGGACGGATCTGGATGAAATTTGGCACAAGCAAAGGATAGGTACACTCTGGGATAGGACATGGCTACTTTTTATCAACACACCACTCGGGTGAAGCCGCGGGCGGAAGCTAGTAGAAAATAACATCAGACATACAATTTCACATACACATGACACCCGGACCCGGAACAACAATTGGTGGATCACACAAAAAGTTGTTTCTTAATAATTGTTTTCCACGATCTCCACGATTAGAGTTTAAGATCAAAGTGATGTAATTATTATTGCATGTCAAATGCACAAAAGAGAAGCTAAAAATTTGAAGAATTCTAGAGACATCGTAAGCCTACTTTGATCAATTATTTGTTTACGTTTCGTCCACTTTATTTATTAAGGGTCTTTGACCTTGCCAGCTCCATACTTCAAAACCGCTGTAACTCCTGTAAGGTAGATAGAACGATGATGGCAATGAGATGCTGACTGATCCCTCCCCAATCCCTAAATCTCCAAAACCTTAATTCCTAAAAGGTCGGCAACGCACTCGTAACTCTTCCGTTGACATGGACCCCCATGTCAACGGATGGACACCCGTCCATGGGCGGAGCTGATTGCTTACCATCAGGTAATCCGTCTGCTCGTTTGCCGACCTATTACATAAAAAAGTACCAACTACAACTATAAAATATACTTAGTTCCAACTATGTATTTTCTTTGAGGAGGCAAAATAACTAAGTATTATTTATTCAATTAGATTCTAATCTTTTTCTGCAGCTTCACACCCTACTTACCTTCCTAACCTACCAACCTACCTACCCATACCTATAGCTATCTATCCAGCTAAACTCCATCTTTTTTCACATATAATATTCCCAATCTGATAATCGAGATCAGCATCCCCAGTGGCTTGACCAATGGATTGGAATTTCTATCAACTGCAAATCTAAAAGTTGACTTTCAAAGGTCCCTGGTGTAATTCTGAATAAGTAAAATACGATAGCTCACGTGTCAAAGATTTGTAACTTTAGTCAAATAATGTAAACAGTCTCGTGTACTATGAAGGTTAGCCAAATTTCATTAACTCTAAGTTGACGTAAACCGAAGTTATTGTAAGATATGAAAAGAGTACCAATACCTACTCTAGTAACTTAACCACTTAAATAAATCGATATTTTGGAATTGCAGATCGAGCGCAATAATGTACAGGAGTCCCGTCCAACAGCAGGAGAAGAAACGAGTTGGTTTTTACGCAGAAAGAGTCCAATACTCCCTTCCTGGGTGGGAGAAGATTACACCTCGTCGAAAAATCTTCATATATCTAAATAGACTTTCAAAAGACTTAACTTTTAAGGCGTACTAGACGGATCGAAACAACCACAGCGTTGTGTTTCGCCGTGTGAGTGAGGTTACCGGAGGCCCAATCCTTCCCCGCCCCCAATCCCTCCTCAATCCCTAAATCTCCAAATCCCTAATCCCTAAAAGGTCGGAAACGCACTCGTAACTCCTCCGTTGCGGGTGTCCATGGGCGGCGCTGATAACTTACCATCATGTAATCCGTCTCCTCGTTTGACGACCAATTACATAAAAAAAAAGAAAATTATGTGAACAAAAATACATTTCTTCCACTAACTTGGGAAAATGGAATACTTGATCTTTTCTTAAATAGCCAAATAGGTATGTACCTACTTGTACGTAGCTGAAGAATTTAGTACATAAATTCTTATTATAGTATACCTAAGTAGTATAGAATGTCCTCTGCTTGTGTTTGTACCTAATGTACTTACAACAAGAGGTACGAATGAAAAGCGAAGGGCAAGTTATAAATAGACCGAAGTATTTTTAGAACACTCTAGATAGTTTTACTTTTTCCTCTAGAAATGTACCTGAAGGTGCTGCAATAAATTACTTAAACATTAGGTATCTGCGTGATTCTCTGAAAAGTCTAATGATTTATTTAATAAATCATCGTTTTCTCGCGTTGTTAAGCGTGTTTAATTTAATATCATCAAGATTTTATTTTTCAAAATCATTATTTGTTTTTTAACTGGCAGAATTGTTAACTTTGGGCTGAGGATAATCACATCGTGAAATTTTGCTTAATTTATTTTATTTTCTCGAAATTATTATATTTATTTTCTCGAAATAAGGGAAACACTGAAGTTCTATAATTAAATATTAGGAAAAACCAAACACCAAAAACCCTACCCAATCGTATTTAGAACATCCGAATAATCCGCGGATATCGCACGATCTCCGGGGAGGCGGCGAACCTCCTTGCCGGATCACCGCCGTGGGATCTAGAAGCGAAGGCGCTCGCGCGCGTCTACAGTTTGCGCGCAGACGCGCGTCGCCGGGGCGAGGATCCTCTGCCGCGCCAAATTAGTGCGTGGCGGAATGAGCTCCGGCGAGATCTCATGGCTGAGTGGAAGCAGCGACTGTCGCAACCGAGGGCCGGGCATGCTACTATAGCGACTACCTATATATATATGACTAAACCCTCCCCCCCCTCGTTCCTTCTCCTGCTAAGGACCAAGGCCGCGGTGGTCTGTGGTGGTCTATTGGCTCTTGAAGGCGCGCGCGGAACGCTACGTGCCGTACGTTCGGACCTGGTTCTGGTCGAGCGGCGAGTTACCATTACTCGCCTTATGGTGGCCGGAGATCCCTCGATCCCTGACGCCCGGAATAGAGGGGGATAGTACTCTCACACGCTCTGCCTCCTCTTTTGCGAGCACAACTGCTTCGCAGAAAGAGGACACGGCATCCCAGTTCCTCTCGCTACGAACCATGGCCTCGACTAAGGCCGGGCACGAGAGGTCGCCGCCGCCGATCACTTTCCTGAGGACATAACGGTGCTCAGTCCAAGCAAGGTACACCGCCATCGTATGCTCCACCGTGTACCCCTTAACCGCGGCTGACTTACGTATTTCCAACCTAGATTCGTAGCGCCCTGCCAATCGTTGTGTGTGGCAAGTCTAATAGTCGTACATAAGTAATTCACTTCACGAGGTTCACGTTTTTTCTTTCAGCTATTTGCAGTTATTGAGTAAAAAATATATACTTATATAGATAATTTATAGGGTAATGTCTAGTGACTTTAAAAGCTGTCTAGAATTTCTTAGGAGGTTAGGTACCACTTACTAAGAGTCTGTTTAAACTGGGAATTGATCCCAATATCTTTAGCTTTTGCAGCAGGTCGTATGCCTATATAACGTATAGTATACTATAAGGGTGTTTTAGTGAATAGCTGAATACTCCTCTTTTTTTTATTAATTTATTAATCCTACCTTTTTTTTATTAAATTTCGTTTTAAGTGTTTTAATTAACCTTTGATTGTGAATAAATGACAATGCTAATTAGAACATGAAAATATATGGTATAAGTATGTAGTATCAAAATATAAGGTTTCACTTGTTTCTTCAGCGTTTTTTGGTTTTTTTATAGTGATTTTAACAAAAAACACAATCACGGCCATAGAAAGTAGTTGAATTACTTTTTAAATCTTAATTATATTCAGAAAATTAGGAGGACTTAGTGAAATTTAAATTTAAACGGCTCTTGAATGCTAAACATGTGGTTGTGCCGTTTGGGACTGTCATTAACGTGGAATCAGGTGTCCCAACATTTAAAGGCTCGGGTGGATTGTGGAGGGAATTAGAACCTTCAATTTTGGCAAGCCCTACAGCCTTTGGGGATGATCCCGATTTACTTTGGGAACTTTATTAGTATAGACACGAACTCGTTTTAAATGCGAAACCACATGCGGTGCGGAGAAATACAACATACTTAGGAACCTACTCAAGTACTTAGATAAATAGTTTGTGGCTGTTCGTAGATGTTTCTTACTAGTATAACTAGATTGATTTTTTTTCGTAAATTCAACACTCTTTGCTACTTCATAAACTCTAGATATTATATCACCTGTTTCGAAATTACCTAGCTTTAACTCTGATCCCAAGTGATTCTGTGCATTAGCTCCGATCAATTCTTTTAGGGATAATGAAGTAGACCTGGGGCTCAAGTCTACTATTTTCAAAATATTGTCCTTCCAACACGATTCCATTGTCATTTTGCTAAGGAACTGTCAAAATTTTATTAATTTAACGCATAGTGTCAAACAAACTATTCTCGCGCGGTTTCACCCGCTGATCTGCTCCTACAGATCGTAGCGTGATGTTTTATAGCCTAAAGCCTTCCTCGTCAAATAGACTACCAAAAACAAAAAGAATTGTCCAATTTGATCCAGTAGTTCCGGAGGTTAGCTCGTTCAGGCAGACAAACAAACTCTTCAACTTCTATATTAAGTAATAGATATTCATATCGTCATATCGCCATTATGTACGAGATTACCATTCTTTAAAAAAACTTTCAATGAAGTATCACTAGTTGATCATTGGAAATTAATAATGACGCCATCATGTTAGTAAATTACCAACTTGTCAAAATTAACAATTTTGCAATCTATGATCCACTATTTTGACACTATTGTAATAGAAGACTTGGGGCCCTGCACGAGGCATATAGGTACAATCTAGTCACCGTCATCATGACCCATTCCATGGTTCCATTGAAATATAATATCTTGGAAACATGTTGTACTAAGTGCAGTGACGTTTTTTTTTAACATTGCCCCACACTAGTATGTTCTCCTGCCGCGGGTGCGGTTACAAGTTATAAATATACAATTTCACATACACCTCGACCCGCAACAACAATTTGTGGATCACACAAAAGGGTGAAGTTTAAATATGACTAAGGTGCCCTCTCCCAAAGGTGAGCACAGTATTTCATATAAGGGCTCATCGTATACCTTATAAAGGGACCAATTAGTAGGTATCTAGCAGTAGCTCGTAGTAATAACATAGCTCATGCCGTTATGAAATCCAATAAGCTGAATTTAAACATCGAAAAAATTTCTTTGTTTTTTCGACCACCCTGAGCCTGATGATGCTAAATAAAACGATTCATTGCCTACATCGCAGAAAATATCGAAGCTACATACCCAACTGTATTGTTTACTTGGGGCACGTATCAGAATTTAATGTTTAAAAAGTAAACACCAACCTCACATAAATTTTATTTTTATTTTAACGTCTCCTTTCCGCAAGCATTGTGCGATTAATCTTACTGACATGAAGAGAAAGACCTCACTTATGGCTTTTATTTTTCATTAAGGACTGATTTAGGTATAATGACCAAGTCTGCCCCATTAGATTAAGAAACAAGATTTTTATAGACCCAGAATCTTTAATTGCTGCCTGTATGCCAAATAATTGGGCTAGTAACTAATTTTAAATATATCTCCTAAGTGTAGCCCTGGCTTTATTGGAGAATTATTAATATTTTTGGTATAACATTTTTACTCTGTGGCAAGGGACTAGCTCTGTGCTATTTTGCTCTATAATTTATGAGTTTTGATGAATTTGCTTCACTATGGTTTTGGCGTGTTTTTACGAGTGCGATTAATGCGAATCTTTGTTGTACTTTTAGTATAAGTGTATTTGTGTAAAAGTAAATATTTAATTGATAAAATAGTTATCTTAATATAGATAACGTAATACAATTGTTGTGTTTATGTTGTGATCTACTTATAAAGTGATAATATGCAATCGGGAAGCGGTCCGAAAAATCCGCCATGGGCTCGGTCAAACGTGAACACCAACATGACCGGTATGAATCCGCAAATAATGGATCCAAATGCAATGATGACCCAGCAGGGAATGATGCAGTTTCAGCAGACTCAAGCGGTTTTCAATCCAAGTATGATGCAAGCACAAAGCGGCATGGCGATGCCAATGGCAGGACAAATGCCAATGAACCAAATGGCTCAAGGTCAAATGTATCCTGGTAATGTGGTAGCTTATCCTACACCTCGTGCAATGAACCCGGGGATGTATCAGAACTCGCAGTCAAATCAACCATCAAGCAATACAGAGCAGCGTGTGTTTACCGGTACTGTCACTAAAACACACAATGACTTCGGTTTTGTTGATCACGATGTATTTTACCAAACATCAATATGTGCAAAGGGAATCATCCCTAAAGTAAATGACAGAGTACTTGTAGAAGCCACTTTTAACCCGAATATGCCTTTTAAATGGAATGCAACTCGAGTACAAGTGCTTCCAAAGACTGGGCCCAACCAGAAGTCAAATCCTCCAAAGAGTAACAACTACAATGCTGTACCACCTCCTGCTAATAAAAAGTCATTGCCCTCACGTCGAGATGATCGTCCTCCGCGCAGAGATGATAGGGTATGTTATTTGTTGAAATTATTACAATTAGTTTTAACATCAAAGCAACTATCATTACCTAAAAGTAATTGTTAACCACTCTTTCTACTTCATCATATAAAAAAAATAATTTTAAATGTCAAAGTGTGTACAAAATTGCCTAGGAAGTAGGTATAAAATAAAAATCTAATTGTTAATGACACAAGAAATACTTGGGAAAATAATTGTAATTAATGCTTTTGCTAATGCATGAAATGTGTATTGACTGGATATATTTATTTTTTTATATTCTTTTAATAAGAATAGACAACATGTAATTTTGATTTCTAGTTCACACAGAAAAGGTCTCGATCAAGGACTCGTTCCCGATCACGTGATCGTCGCGACAGCCGCAGTCGTCGAGACTCCCCACCTCGTAAACGTCCTATTGTTCACCAGCCATCCCCTATTAAATATGTCGTTAGAGTGCCTAGGATACCACTTGACATGTAAGTTAATTTTACTTACTAATGTAGTTTTGCACCAATTAGAACTAAACTTACACGAATTACGAAATTTAACCAATAAAACTTCTTTTTCAGACAAAAAATGGATGTGCCTGCCTTGTCACAAAGATATACAAACTTATATGTTCCATCTGACTTCTTCAATGCACAAGTTAAATGGGGAGAAACATTCCCACCACAGACACCATTTTCTATCAACAACCCTTGTGCCTACCACATCATGAATAAAGAAATTGATAATCCAATTGAAAATGATGCAATCTTAGAACCACCTGATGCGGATTATAGATTTTCAGCCAAAGTATGTGCTTTTATCATATATTTTAAAGTGCTTTTAATTTCATAGATACAAATGTATTACATAACTATCTTACTACCTTATCCTTTTATTTCATTTTTAGGTCATGTTAATCAGTATGCCAACATTGGAAGTACTATATCAGAAATGTGGACTTACCAAAGTCGATGAGAAGGACAAACGCTCCAGCTCTAATAAAAATCCATTGCATCCTACCAGACTGATCAAGTTCCTTGTTGGACAGAAAGGGAAAGGTGGTGAAAATTTTGCTATAGGTGGACCTTGGAGTCCTTCATTAGATGGTGAAAATCCTCAGTCAGATCCAAAAGTTTTGGTGAAGACTGCGATACGCACATGCAAAGCTCTTACTGGCATAGACTTGTCATCATGTACCCAATGGTAAGTGTAGTATCATCATTCGTTTGGTCATCTTACTGTCCTGCTGTGCTGACATTTATGTAAGATCACATGGGTCAGGAGTTTCTTCTGGACATACTGTTGTAGCTGGTGCAGTATTTCAGAGTGAAAATAGTGACTGCTTGGCAAAGTCACCAACAGGCAGAAGAGGCTTTAACCCGTTTATTTTTTGTATTGGTCATGGTACACACATTCCTTAAGTGAGAGTTAAGTGGAGGCGTTAGTACATCTTGGATGGCGCAACTGATTGGATGCAGACTCGATGTACCACCTACCAAAACAGCAGTTTGTTTTACTCTCGTAGCGGATGTGTCGTGTCCATGTCTGCAGTCGGGTGGGCGGCGCGCGCGTTGCGCTGTGAGTATACCACTATAACTGTATTACCCATGCAGGTACCGAATGGTGGAGTTTTACTACTGGCGGGAGGGCAGCGGCGGCAAGTCGCGGCTCGAGTGTGTGGTGTTGTTCCTGCCAGACGTGTGGTCGGCGCAACCGTCGCGTATCGACTGGACCAACGTACAGGAGCTGTATAAAGCAGCCTGCGATGCTGCCATCCGAAAACTTGACGGCGAGGAACCGGAGTCCAGCAAGCCCGAGCAGCAAGTGACGGCAGCGGCCGACACTTCTGCGGCGGACAAATCGCAAATTGTTTGTTCCCAGTTTTGTTTAGTTACGTTTCCGGCCGCTCGCTACTAAAATGGAAGAGCATCGTGCCAGTTCTGCCGACGACAAGCAGTCTTGTTGCCATGCTGACATCGCCTGGAAATAGATAATATTATTATAATCACTACCTTCTTACTCTTCACAGAATTATATTAAATAATCCTCTTTTAATTTTCTAAACTTAATTCAAAATTTGAAGTTTCTAAACTCAGCTTTAATTATTGACCTTGACCCTGAGTTCACATTTAAGAAACTGACAGAAATACTCAATTAGGTTGTAAACTTTTTAGGAAAAAGATCTGGACAATAGTACTATAACAATAGACGAAAATGATGATGATGATGAGGAAAAGCCAGAACCAACACATTATTCAAAATTGGATCTCAGGACAATCAAAGTCGATCAGCTGAGACAAGAGTTGCGAGCTCGGAATGTTAGTTGTAAAGGTAAGGTCAAACCACATGGTGCAAATATATTATAAAACATATAGTAAAATAATTAGCCAACATATTTCATGCTTTAACAGGACTAAGAGCTCAGTTAGTATCCCGCCTATCAAAACTTATAAAAACTGAAGAGGCAGAAGATAAGAAAGATGGAGAAGATGTAATGGAACTTGAAGATGATGAACAGGACCCTGATAAAAAGGCTGAGATTGAGGAAAAAGAGAATGTTGAGGTGAAAGACGAAAAAGAAGAAGAAAAAAAGCCAGAAGTCAAGGTTGACAAGAAAGACGAAGACAAAAAAGAGGAAAAAGTTGAAAAAGAAGAAAAGAAATTATCTGAAAAGGAAATTGAAGAAGAGAAAAGAAAGGTACTTTGTAGGAACCTGATAGAGTTTCAAAAAAGAAGGAACACCTGTGATCTTTGCACATTTCCATCAAATGAACTCATAATTCAGATTCTCTTTACACATACAAATCCTAATACAGTCGCTTTGTTAATAATTCAAAGATTTATATTTTTCAGCTTGAAAAAGAGAAGTTATTGCGTAAAGCTCGTTACGAAATTCCTCCTACGCCTCATATTTTGGTGCATCCATCAAACTCTGCGAAGGGTGGCAAATTCAATTGCAGTGTGGCCACCTTATCATTGTTATTAGATTATCGTATCACAGACAATAAGGAACACAGCTTTGAGGTTTGTTTAATAATGACCTATACTGTAAATATTTCTAATGATAATCTTGCCTTATGTTTAATTTAAAAAATTGTGTCACACAGTTGTTTGTCTTTGCCGAGTTGTTCAATGAAATGCTGATGCGGGATTTCGGTTTCTACATTTACAAGACTTTGTATACACTCCCTGAAAAAGCTGAGGAGGTTAAAGAGAGAAAAGAGGAAGAAAAACTTGAAAAGAAAGTTGAGGAGAAAAAAGAGGATAAGAAAGATGAGAAGCGAGATGAAAAGAAAGATGATCGACGGGACGAGAAAAGGGATTCGCGCAGAAGGGATAGAAAGGTAAAGTATTATTTTCTATACAATCTCCATAGTTTGACACATTTTCTTGTTAACCATAATAATCATGCCCCTTTTTATTTCAGGAGAGCCCAAGTGACGACGAACGTAGTGGTTCCCCAAAACGTCGCAGCCGAGGTGTTGAATTGCCTCCTGACCCATACCTTCTTTTATCCCTAGTATACTTTGACACGTCCCGCGGCGGCAGTATGACCAAGAAAGATCTACAAAATCTGTTCATGAGCTTAGGATTACAACTTTCTCGCTCACAGATCAGAGCTGTACTCGAGAAAGTATGTGTTAAAGAGATGTTTACCTACAAGTAAGTTTTCAAACAATTACTCTTCAATTTTGTAAAACTTCTAAAGTTATATATTCATTTATCTTTTAAGCTTATAGATATTGTTTTACTAGCAGTTGTAATAACATAAGTAAATCTTATCATCTATAGGACATTAATCCAAGCCATTCGAGATGTTTCTTCTGGAACTACAGATGTAATGCAAGATATGCCACTAGATACTTCGATTTCAAACAGTGAAGTCCCTACACATGTAAGTACCTACTTATATTCATATTTTTGCCACCTTGGCATATATTGAACATGTTCTAATGAAAACAAAACAGATTGCAGAGCTAGAGGAAACAATAGCAGCTGGAAACCGCAATTTGCTTCCAATATTTAATGCAACTGGTGTAGATGGTGACAAAAGTAGTGAAACAAAGGATGTCAGTGAATCTGGTAATATTTTAATCTATTAACACAGTTCAATATTTTTTACGATGTATATTGAATACTTATATCTTATTTTGTCTTTTTCTTATTGTAGGTATGGTTATGTACAAGTCCAGATTGGTAGATGTGGGGGCGCTAGTGAAAGCTGAGGCTCGTAGTGCAGCGAGCCGCGCTCGCCTTGAGGGTGCTCTGGAGAGTACTCGAGCTGCACTGCGCGCGGCCCGAGCTGCTGCAGCTAGCACGCAACAAGCCGAGCGTGGAGCACAGACACAGGTTTCTGACCTTAGCGCCAGCCTCTCCGCTGCACGAGCAAGGATAGCTTCGCTTACGGTAATTATTATTTTTATTTTAAATAAAATTTTTGAAATAGATACCATTGAGTTTCACAATAAACGATTGTTTATGTCTATTCATTAATATTTATCTTTTAGGCGAGTTCCAAAATATTCCATTCAGCTTTGAAGAGTATTCAAACTAAAGTTGAAGCTGTAGTCAATATAAAATATGAAGATGATGATGTCGTAGAAATTGTCAATGGACCTTCACAGTAAGTTGAATATATTGAAATCATAGTTGGAATCTTTTGAGAGATGTCTTTTTTATTTGTTATATTTTTTTGCAGAAATTCAAAGGACTCTAAAAAAGAAAATGTTATTGAAAAACAGGAAAAGAAAGATAATGCTTCAGCTAGTAGTGAACCTGCATCAAAAACTGAGGACAAAACCGAAGAGGATAAAAAACCTACAAGCAGCACTAAAATACAAGACAGTGAGAATTCAACAGCAGAAAATATGGAACTAGATGATAAGGAATAGAAGTCTCAAATAAATGTTAAACCTAGTTTTGACGGTTTTTTAACATTTTTATTTAATATTTGATTTGATAGAGTTAAAAACTAGTAGGTATTAGCTATTATGTCTCATATTTAGAATTAGACAGAATTGACTATAAGCAATAAACAGGAAAAATTGGTATGTTTCAATCTACAAATACTTGTTCAAACAACAAATTAATTAATTACAATGTCTAGCTATAGTTTTTTGCAATCTTCTTCCAATTGTAATGTTAACAAATTAGGCACATGATGGCAATAATGAACATATTTTTTGAGCTGCATTTACAATTATATACATGAAGGGTCAAAGCGATTACTTAAAAGTTCGTCCAGTTTTTATATACTGCTGCTATATCTGTTCGAGCTACTAAATGATTAATCCAGATATATACAGCTAGTGTCATAGAAAATTTTGGGGCCTAAAACTTAATAAGTTGTGTATGACCAATCGCAGGTTCAAAACCGTAAACGTTTTACATTGATTAAACTAGTCAAAATGTATACAGATTAACATTTTTGTGGCAATGATTTCTGTAGTACATTTATTTTGAAATAATTTTCATGAGAACGTATTTTTCGTTATGCCAAAAACGTTGATGTATCCAATAATAATTTTGTGTGCAGTAATTTATACCACATCTTTTATTGAATAGTTTTGTCCAATAACCAAGTACTTATGTTGTCCATATGGAGTGATTTTACAAATTATTTTGTATGTGTGTGACATTTCATATTGTGGCCGTGTATTCGAGAAAACAATCTTTTTATTGAATTAGATGTAAGTATCTGTGCATTTAAATGCATCAATAAAAATTCACAAATGTCAAAATTTTATTCTTATTTTCCTTGCATTTTATATTATAGTAGCGGGCCCTCCTCGAAAACCCACACATCAAATTACAAATCGTTAGAGCCGTTTACGAGATCACGTGCTTTTTCAAGCAATCATTGCCGGGCTGATTTATTAATAAAACCATCCAGGGCGCCATCCAAGGGCATACAGAAAACGTCATTTAAATCGGTCAAGTTGTTTAGGACGAGTTCAATGACCACACGTACAGCAGAATTATATATAATTATACAGATTAGAAATGAAATAAAATTCAAACTACAGATATATGAATTAATTTAATGTTCCTTTAATGACAAGGATAACTTAAATTAAAATAACATGATTATGTTTATCGTAATCTATATTTCCTAATGAATACGTTAAAAATATCAATTTAAATAATATATTTGAACTTAATAATAGTTGAATACTAATCTTCAATAGTATGGAAATTTATTTGGAAGTAAAATCTATAACCTAGTTTATTGACATGATTGTAGATATCTACAGGAATACATAGTTACAAAGAATATTGTATATCAATTTACAAGAAATTGCTAAAAATGATGGGTTATTTCCTATTGATGTTACACTAACTTGTATGTGTGATCATAGCCTAGCCTAGTTTGTTTCAGAGGCCTCAATAGGTGAAGTATGTATGTAAAATGAGTAACATTACACACAGGGTTCTACATAGTTTCCTGGAAACAGTCCCGTGACGCCGTCCATAACGCCTTCCCACCAACCATCGTCATTCTTCTTCAACACATAAATTACTGCACTCTCTTGGAATGATAATTCGTCTTCTTTGTCAGCATAGTAATCGTAAATGGCGACAACTGGAACAACAATATAGTTAACAACAACTTGTTGTCAAAGTTGTACAGTAATGATTTGCCAGTTGTGAAATTCATACCTTTCTCAATGTAATTCTTGGGCACCCATCCAGGCAGGTCTTCCTCATCAGGTACTATAGCAGGTACAGCATTTGAGTAGGGAGCACCCATCTTGTTCTGAAAAATAAAGGAAACATCATTTTAGGGTACCAAAATTTACCGACTGCTAAAAGTTAAACACTGGAGTTAAACGGAAGGCATACTTACATTCATATGGTGAGGTCTGCCAAAGCCATCATGCGCTAACTCATCATCCATCGGTGGAGGTGGCAGAGGAGGAGACACTGATCCACCCCTAATGGAACCTCCTCCCGCTGAAGACGACGACGCACGCTGAAATTGTTATACATTGTTAGAATCTTATGTCTCTATCATTGTTTTGAGTAATGTAAAAGTACATTTAATTTGGATTAAAAAATAAACTGAAGAACAGCTATACTGAGATGTTGACAAACCAGGAGCAGTTGGTGACACTCCAACAGGGGGATAGGTAAGAATTAAAAAGTACTTGTTACTCCATACATGTGTTAGGTTGACATGACAACAGCAAGAATTAAGGTCAACCACTGATACAATAACAATGGGTTGGCCATGCATTTATTGTGTGCAATGTGCATAGAACATAATTCTAGCCAAAATATTCCTAAGTACAGTTTCACCATAATACACTTCAGTTTTAATCACAATACTTAGTGTAATTGCAAACTGTACTAGAAGGAGGATCACTACTATAGTGCAATGGGGTAATATTTAAACTCACGGCTTCCCTATTGCTGATGTTTGGCTATTGGATCTATCCAAAAGAAACGACAATAAATATAAAAGTTACCTATCTTGGTACAAAAATTGTAGTAATATCATGTTGATAGTAATGTGTTATGGGCATTCATTTTACGCCAAAATAGTATAAAAAGGTTAGCAATACTAACCTGTCCTGGCAGACTCATGGAATGTTGGCTGTGTTCACCATCAGAACCAATCAGAGGAGAGGGTGGTGCTGTAAACAAAAAAATATTTCTGTTGTAATTTCTCAAAACTTGAAATTAATTAGGACAGAATAAAATTGAAAGTTTATTTTTGTTTTGTCAACCTTGATTTTATCAAATGAATACTAACGTGGCATACTGGAATGCAAATCTTGTTGAGAATAGTTGGAAGTAGCTTGATGCTGGTTTGGATGTACCATTCCAACCTAAAGATAAACAAAAAACATGGTTAGTTATTGAATAACAGTATTCTGTGTGTATCATATGGCTTTTCCTGTGTATTTTGTTACTTTTCTCAAAGAGGGACTGACTGCTGAGCTTCTTTTCAAGTTTCTTATAGATAGACAAATTAATAGTGAATCCATCTAGCTTTCAAAGGAGCTGCCGAGCAGATGAACCGCAATAATGTACTGCTGCCCCAGTCCGGACCAGATAGACTGACTGACTGACTGACTTGATAAATTTACGCCATCAAAAATAAATCTAGCTTTTAAACGGGTGATTAAAACACATTTTTGTAATTTACTGAAGATCATATATATGACATTCTTTTTCAAGAGTAACATACCTGGGGCTGTGCTACAGGCAAAGTCGAGTAGCCTGGTGGACGACGTGGGTAGTTTGGTGCATAGTGCGAGGGCACTTGCGGCGGAGCCACAGCTGGCGGCGTGCGGTACTCGCGTGAAGATTTACCTGTTCACAAAATGTGTTTACAAATGCCTCAATTCATTTACTTACAACAAAAATCTATTAAGAAATCCATGATTGCTTAACAGATAAGACAGCCAAACACCTGTTTATACAAGCCATTTTGGTATGAACAGTTTACATACTGCAAAATATCTAAGGGCTTACCCAGTGTACCACGACCCAGTGTCCCAGTATTTGCAGCAGCAGCCGCTCTGACAGCAGCTGGCGGTGTTGGTGGCTTGGTGGTGGGTGCAGGTAGTGTTGCTGCACTAGGAGTAGAGCCTGATCGCCGACCCCTAGGAGTGCCACTTGTAGCTCCATTCCAACGAGCACCATGACCAATGTCATCCAGAGCTAACAGAGAATAGCAAAATTAAATATGACTTTTATTTAACATATATTTTGGGATTTTTCTCTTGTCATAAATTGTTGCTTAAACACAGATATTTCTTTGTTATCACATGATAGAAATGAGAAATCTACATGACCAAATTTATTAATTTTTGGTTCAAAATAAGAATAAATGATTTGACTTTGAGCAACACTTAAGGTTAATTAACTGATTATGATGACTAGTATACATTACATTAATCCATACCTGTATAATCAATACTCTTCCTCACATATTTGATGGGTTTCTCTGGGTTTGCAGGAGCAATGATTTTGTACTGCCTGTTTGTCACCTTATTTGCAGTCAACACTCCAATTTCTCGCCTGGCTACTTTCTCCTTGTGAATGGCCACAGTTTGGGCAATGTGATTCATTTGTCCTTCCATCTCAGCTAACTGCATTGTTTGAAGTTCGAGCAGTTGCAAGAAGTTGTAAGCCAGTGTATTGATTTGATATGCAACACTAGCTAGCGATTGTGTTGTGTAGTTTTTGGTGCTCTCTAGAGCCAACCTTTTATTTTCTGACTGAAAATAATTAGCTTCGCAGTAATCAGCCACACGTTCGAGATTTGTGTGGCTATCTGTTAGATGGCTGCGCCCCTCGGGAATCTCGGTTTGCAGTAATGCTGCTAATTCAGCCATTTTGTGGTTTCTAAAATGAAATTCAGTTAATAAGTATTAAAGAATTACTCGCAGAACATCACTGAAATGTTCAGCAGTGATATTACGAATAAGGATAAAATAAATACGGTCAAGATAGCGACCCACAGGAAGTTATGGAAAGGCTAACATTATTTACCTTCTTTTGCCTTTGTCAGTAGGAAACAAAATTAGTACATCGTCGCAATACACAAACTCTTTCTAAATCTACGTGATACTCAGGAGATTAACAATAAATACAAAAGAAAAATACAAAATACGATCAAGTTTTGGGTGGGACGTTGCGTTACTCAAAGTGACATTAATGTTATTTTTTTTTTTTTTTGGAGTTTATGGCCTGGATACGAGTCCTTTAAGCCAAGTCTTTTAATTTACTCACATTAATGTTAGGTTAGGGACTAGGGTTACCACTTGTGGCTGTGGAACTCTTTGGTAAAATGAATTACAAAAATTACGAACTTTGCTTTCACTTAAAACTAAATTAGCAATATAGTACGACTAATATTGTATTTTATAGCACTATTTAGTGAATAATTACTATTATATATACTAATATTTACCTACGGCTTTTTGTAACGACATCTATAAGCCAAATATGAAAAGTAATAAACTTAAAAAGTAACAGATGGCATTACTATATAGTTGAATTTATACCACGACCCCTCCGCATATTTGCTGACCATAATAAATACTCATAATAATATTGTTATAGCTAAAAGAGTTATTTTTGCTTTGAATGTATGTTTTTTAACAGTCCCATAAAACAAGGGAAAGGTTTATTGCCGTTTTTGGAAACGCTTTCAAGAGATGAGTCACTGAAAAATTTTGTAGATCCATGGCTATTTTATCTAAAAACTACCCCTCATAGACGAAATGCATCAAAATCAATCAAAAAGAAAATTCTGTAGGTTATATAGGAACAAAGGAAAATTTCCGAGAAGTAATACCACTTTATAAATGTACACATTTATTTTAATAATATTTCATTAGGGGTGTATACAGATCCAAAACCAAAAAATCTAATAAGTAGGTATTTGAATTTGTTTATTTGAATGTCGGTTTTTAATTATTTTACGTAGTTTATTAAGCTTGATGAAGATCCTAAAATGTTAACAAATCCTCCAATTTCATTATAGGTGTGAGAAATTGTATTGTAAAACAAAATGTTATGTTCAGTTCTGTTCTATATTGATTCTAAATACTATTTAAATACAAATGATTTAAGTATAACATTTCATCATCCACAAGTTCTAAATATTAAACTACCTTAAAATACACACATTTCACGTCTAATTTGACTAAAATAATGCATATTCATAATTTAACTTTGAGTTAACACTTTAAAGTTATTTCCTTTATATAATATGAGTCTGTCATGATAGTTTTATTTTAAATATAAAAAAACAAAGTGTAACTTATTCAAGTAATTACTAAGTAGACAGTTAAATAACAAAGTTTAATAAAGTCATTATACGAAATTTATCTATTTAATAAAATATTTCTGAATGAAATAATGGATATTTAAAATTATTAACTAACTGTACAAAAACATAAATTGGTTTGTATGGTTTTGAATAAGTTTGATAAAACCTCATGCACTCAATAATACATCCCAGTTTATTTCATTATTATAAACCTCCTGCTCAAGCCATAATTCATAGTTATGTTTAAACTCCTCATCAAGTTCAATGTTAGTTTCTAGTACACTGTTTATGTCTGTCTCGAGAGGAGTCAAATCGATTTCCTGATCTCCACCACTGCCATACCTCCTTGTATTAAAACGATCCACACATACTCTCAGAGCACACTCTTCATCTTGGAATTCCCAAGGTCTTGCATCAACATCATTGCCAAAAGCCCAGTCATCGTTCAACCTGTGACGCACCTTAGAATATATTGCACTGATTGTTTTCATATTTGTTTTTCTCCATTGGCGACCCAAATACTTAGTTTGCATTTTCAGTAATTTCAATACATAAAATTGCATCAATGCATGTCTTACTTTTAAAGTACGTTTTAGAATAGGTGCACTTTTGAAAACTACAAGCATCATAATTCTTGCATTTTTCCATTTAGTTAACTTATTTAAAATCCTCAACAAATTGATGCATGAAAAAACATTTCTCCATGAGTATGGAACTGTAGAATCCCCAATATCTAGACATTCTTTAGTCAATTCTGGCTGTTCTCCAATAACACAAGCTGGAAAATCAAATATAGGTATTGTGTTCTTAGCTCCAACATATGACAAAATGTTTTGATTGAAAAATTTTAGCACTAAAGGCATACAATTTGCATAAACAAGATGTTGAGACATAAACTCAAATTGGTATACATGATTTAATTTAAAATGTTTCAGCAGCAGTAGCAATATTGCAGTGACTGCTTTTACTATAATTTCTTTATGCCTGTTAACATCAATGCCAAGTTTTAATGATTGAAGTACAGTCATGGGCATCTCTTCAGGCAATAAGTCAGCCATTATATTGATAGAATAGGTTTTAGCTGTTGATGTAGGTGCTGCTGCTAGAAGAATTTTAAGCAATGCAATCATGTACTGGGGCAAGTTGGGAAACATAGCTCTGTACAGTATTTCAACTTCTGTATCTTCAACTTCTTTTTCTCCCTTAGTGAGAGGACTGCGAGCAATTTCAAGTTCTCTTTCTGCTTGCAATTCCGAGAGACTAGTGTAAACATGTTTTTTAAGAATTTCTATTCCTTCATGAATGGGCTGTGGCAGTCCAGCAGTAGTCTGTCTATCTCCAGGAAGGGAGTACCCAACAAACTTATTTCGAACATTGTCAAGGAAGGTGTCAATGTCTTTTTGACGCACTTTTGATTGCCAAGGAAGACTTCTAGGAAGAGGTGGAGGTGGAGGCGGACTGTCGAACTGCTTAAAGTACATGTAATATGGACAATTAGGATTGTTTTCAGATTGAGAGCCTTCACTTGGTATAGACTGAAATTCCATTGAGTAATCTTCTGAGCCATTACCAGTTTCTTCCTTGTCTACAAAGATTTGCTCATCAGATTCATCTAGTGAAGTTTGTTTCATAAAAAGGTGCCTGCGAATTTTTCCCTCTCTTTCATTTTCTTTTAATAACTTTCTTTGACCAGGATTTTGATTTTCCAACATATCAGCTGCACTCGGAGGAGGAGAACTGGCTCTCATACCTTTTACAATCTCAATTGTGTCCTCTGATGATGGTGGAAGATTGTATTTCTCCCTTAGTCTAGCCTTTCTCTCTTTAAGCTCCTTTGAGCCTCCTAAAAAAACAAGTAGAACTTTCCAAAGAAGAAGTAACACTTTTTTCATAGGAAAGTGTGGAGTTGTTCCTGCACAAAGATGTGTCACCATGCTTAGTAGTTTTACAGGTAGCAACTCTTCACCAAATGGTGAGCCCAGCTCCTCTTTGAAGTTTTTAACCAAATGTTTGAATTCAGATTCAGGATTATCCTTCTCAGTTCTCATGTACTCTGTGATCAGGTATAATACAGACAAAATAACTCGTAAGTTTGTGGAGTCCGCCAGAGATTCTGCTAGTTTCCTGGAAGCTATTGCAGAGCTGCTGCGAACTATTTCGAGATTCAGTAATTCGACGAAGGCAGAAAACGTGCCCATATCGTACAGCATCATTACGTTGACGCGAGCCCAATGAGCCTGCTCAGCATCAGATTGCATCTCCGCCCAGCATCCCTGAGCTAAATACAGTATACAACGGGTTGCTCGCATACGAATCTCACTGACAGCCACATCCAAGTGCTCCAATAACTTCATCATCACAGTACGTTGCTGTTTATTTGTCAATCTTTGCCAGCTTGGAGGAAAATTAAAATCTTCCATGATATCTTCAAATGCCTTGACGTTGAGCTGATATTCCGGATGTTCTGTGTAACTGTATAACTCGGCTATTTCGTTGGCTTGAGTATCACAATCATCATAAACGAAGTCAAGTTCGGGGCTCTCCATGTCGTTAACACAATCGCCTTCTTCCATGGGGCGGCGAACATCAGGTATTTTAGTTCCCCCGCGACGACCATTGCCGTTCGTGCCCATTTTTGAATGGTTATAGAAATATCGTAAAATAATTATTTGATTTCACATCTCAAAATATCAGTAATTACTGAATTTATAGTACTTTTTCGTAAAAAAAGGAAATTTGTAGATTTCTCGTTTCGTCTTTAGATGGCACCACAGACTACATAGACATATTGAAGTACGAGCCACAGACAATTTCAAGACAGACCTTTTTTGTAAAGTTTGTACAGACTATACATTTACACATTTAATATCCCTATTATAATAGTAGCATGTTTTTAGACACTAAGATAATTGCAATTTTATTTGTATTTAAGTGCAATTGTATTTGATTTTTTTTCACACATATTCAAAGTGCCTCAAAGTATTAAATTTTGAGCACTTAGAGAATAATGTTAATTGTATTGTTTATGATAAGCTGATACTCTTTTAAGGAATTATTATATAATAAGCAAAATGTTTCTAAGCAACTGAACTGACTGCACGGTTGGCGCGGTGGCTAGGTAACTGGCTGCTTTGTAACGTGTCACGGGTTCGATTCCCGCACGTAACAATTCTTTGTGTGATCCACAAATTGTTGTTCCGGGTCTGGGTGACATAGTGTATTTGAGATTGTATGTTTGTAACCGCACCCACGACACAGGAGAAAATCCTAGTCAATTATCCTAAAAAACGCAATTCAAAATTAGATTATAAATTTAAATTACCTACTTAATTATTACGTTAATCGAGTGATAACAAACGCGACAGCTGAATAATTTGTGGCAGAATCGGCGTACAGTTATTACGGATCCTTTATTTACTCAGCTGCCCAAACAACCGTGATATGTTTTCAGGGTTTTCAGCCGGGGTTGCGGGGTAAGCGCAATGAGGCACCGCAACCTCGGCCTAGAGCAGGAGTAGGAACAGGGGGGTTTTTAGTCAGTAAGAGTCTGACACTCCCTCCTGCCTGACCCTGGGCGGGAGAAGTCATTTGATGATTTTCCCCTCACAAAAAAAAGGGTTTATGTATGTAAGTTTCTTTATTACAATTGTGAATTAAAACCATCTAACAGTCAATAGTAAGTATGTAAGTAGTACTTATGTAAGATTTTTGTTTTAAATTCGTTTATTTTGCATAGCACACAATTTGTTTGTATTTTAATTATATAATTAACCAACCTTCTCCATCTGCACAAGGCCAAGTAGCCGGCTCGACCGCCCGACAGACCCATAAATGACAGACACACCTATTGTATCTGCATAATTATGTTGTATGTATATTAATTGCTTTAATGCTTTTAAAGTTTTATAAGATTTTTTTGTATATGATTAATGGCGGCAAACGAGAGTAGGTACTGAGTTGGTACCCAAGTTGTAAGTGCGTTGCCGGCTATTTAGGGATAAGGGGTTTTGAAGATAGATGGGGGGAAGGAAAGGATTGGGCTTGCAATGTCACTCGGACGGCGGACGGAGGCCGTGGTATCATACTGGACGAGCGGCTCGACCAGTATGATATCTAGTCGAGCCAGCCCATTCTTACCGAAGCATGGGTATCAGTATCACACACGTAATAAAGATTACTTTCTCTGTACCTAGAATAATTAAAAATCCCCAAGTAAACAAATCTGTTGGACATTTGCCCGCCAGGTATGATCACTTTGCCTGGAGGACCCTTCTTTTTCCTAACTGAAATTTTCATATCGTGTTCTCTAAAACACTTAAGTAACCCAAGATACTTACTTACAATAAGTTTTTTTTTAATCAATAAGTATAACTCTATCCCGCCTACACAAATAACGGTGTTGTAGCAAGACCAATTTATCCTCAAATCAATTAATTATTTAATGTCCCTCAAAATCTGTTTTTACTCGTACCAGATAAAAAGCTTTTTAATGGTGAGGCAATATGGTTTGTTCCCACGTCAAACGTCCCTAATATGACATCCGAACATTTGTAATACAACAATGGATCCTCTTACCTCAGAGGGGTATTTAAGAGCAACGGGGGGCTCAAGGGGCGTTTGTAAAAGTAGAGTAGACACCTAGTAAATTGCTTACGAGTTAGTACGGATATAAATGCGGGCAATTACAATATCTACATATTTAAGTATTTAGTACTTGGGTAATTTGGTCTAGGTAATGGAACTATCAATGCAATTTATGTAAGAAGTTTATTGAACGGTAAAATAAAGTGAACTAGTTTTAAAAGTACCGACCTACCTAGTCTACTAATTTGGAATTGTTGTCAATTATTTTACCTGTATACTTAACTAGGTAGTTATTATTGTTAGGAATGATCGCGACCTCATCTGCACATTAACTTCCGTAGAAATCAAGGAATTTGTAGGCCCGAATTTGATTAGATTTTTGGGATAAAGTGTTGTAAGGATATCTAATTTTTTTCTTATAAATTTTTGTGTTAAGATCTCCGTCCAGTATAATCTGGTGATGCTTTTTACTTAGGTCTTATAACATGATTACCGAGGGTTACATTAATGTAAGCCTGTACCTACCTACCTAATGTAAACTAATATTTTATTAAACGTGTTAAATTATCTGTTTTTTTTGTTTCTTTATCTATATATGGTAAGTACATTTTATTTTAAAGTCTGCATACATTTGCAATTGCAACAATTATTTTCTAATTTAGCTAGTAGGTAGGTACCTACTTACCTAAAATCTAGGAAACATTTAGGTACCATTTAAAATGGAGCTTAATACTAAAATCTCTATCTAGATGTCATTCACACCTTAATGGTACTCATACATAGATACTTCTATCTCAATTATGCAGGCACTTAACTAGGTACCTACATGAGTTTGTTTACGGCCATGAACATTGATTATATCTAAACTTTAACGTTTCTCCGACTATTATCCGCTTCATACCTCGGATAATATTTTTGTCCAACTTACGTTTGTCTTGTGACATTTGCTAGCAAACTGTTCATCTCATAACACGAACTTTATACCTATAATATGTTTAAAATATACATTTTCTTCGTTATAAAATTCATATTTGTGTCAGCGAAAATGTTCGAAAGTGATTTAAATGTGAATGATATTCTTCGTTCGGATTTGATGCCGACTTTCTTTATGGTAGGCAGTGAAAATCAAAGTGTTGATAGTTTGAATGCTACTATAGGTAAAAGTGTTGACCAATCAATTAATGGTTCTATTGATGCTGCGTTGTCTACTCTGGGCTTCCATAGGTAAAGTATAATTAGAAAATACCTATATAGATTTAAATAATAAAATACTATAAAGGCGACTGTTTTAAAAGTTGAGAACATTAAACTTTATAGATAGATATCTAGCACCATCATCGTCATCATCATTGGTCTGTAATCATCCCATTATTGAATGTCAAGTTATTACATTCAAGTTCGACTTCCGTGACGGGACCAATATCTCTTAGTTGCTACCTTAAACCATTAGTTTTAAGTGTAGGAGAACCGAGCTTCAGCACGAATGGAATGGCTCGACCGGAGTGATACCCCGGTTTTACAGAAATTGGTCTGAAACAACCACAGCATTGTGTTTCACAGGCCCCATCCCTACCCCTCTCCCCATACTTTCCCAATCCTCAAATATCTGAAACCCTTATGCCTAAAAGGCCGGCAACGCACTCGTAATTCCTTTAGTGTTGCGGGTGTCCATGGGCGGCGCTGATTGCTTACCATCAGGTAGGTAGTCCGTAAAGGCTCTTTTGCCGACCAATGCCATAAAAAAATCAGTACATTTTATTCTCATGAAAATAAATGTTCTGTCCGACGCATTATTTATATGTTATCTATTGTGGTTTTAATTGTTTTATTACAGAAAAATGATGAACGAGTACCACTGCCGGAATTACATAGCTGACCAAATTCTGGAGGAGATGGGGAAAAGTGTTTTGCAAAATAGGATAGGGAAGCCTTTCAGTGAGGTGAAAGACAACGTGCTATCCCGGAGACAAGACATTAGGAGTAACGTTATGTTTGATGTTGGGTCCGCTAACTATCAAGAATGGTTGGCCAAGTAAGTACCTACCTATTGTTTAAAGTCTGTCCAAATTACCTGTTTTTGTCATAGCTTTGAACAGTTAATAATTTGGCACTGCACTCTACTTTTGGGAACTTATTACCGGTTTGACAGATGTGATGTTCTTCTAAATACCTGTACCATAAATATAGCCTTTGTTACTTAGGCTGAATGTAAATTTCCAATGAAGGAATGATTTTTGATTAATGAGTGACTCCTAGTTAAATATGGATTTAGTGCTCGCAAAGCCAACTGCTAAGGTTGATTTTCGCTTCGGATACAACATTACCTACTAACTCATTAATTTTTTAAAGATATTGATTTATAAAGGGTATCATTTTCTTGAACAAGCAATCTGTAACTGCACTAAACTTAGCATAAGATAAAAGGTTAATTTTTATTACAATTCTTGGTGAAACCAGTTCTTGGAGAAATCCTTTTTTTACTTTTTTTACTTCCTACTTTTGGGAATACAAGGTCCGTTTTATTTTCAGGGTGGCCGCTCTCAACGATGTTCATAATGTAGCCAATATGGCGACTAATGCTGGCATAAACAACACAACACTTCCAGGTGATCCGTCGGCACCGCAAACGCCGACATTACAAACTAGAGAAGGATATGAAGTGTACGAGAGTGGCAAGGAGTTCACAGGTTACACAGCTCCCGATGTAGCGGCACAAGATATCGCTAAGTATAGTAAGGGTAAAGAAATTTATCTAAATGTTATAATTACCACCGTACTTCACTTGTGGACTAGTCGTCTTCGCCATAGTTTCTGTTTTAAATCAATAATAATTGACCATTTCCTTCAAATGTCATGGGCACATTTTTTATATTAAGATATTCTTTATATCATGAAATCATACCTTGTTTCCAATATTTTAGAAATATCTGTGGTGATTTTGCGACAAAGCAACAAAACTTTGGACACCGATAATTTTTATTTTAATAGGATTCAATATTATCATGTCTGACGTAGGTAGGACTTTAAAATTTGCATAATTATAGTTGAATTTTTGAAATTTTTATTCAAGTTTTCCAAACAACTAAAATTTATTTACATTAGTCATTACTGCATCATTTTAGAGTTTTCACACATTATGTCCTTTGTAAATTCATTAAGTGTCTTTTTACCCACCTATGATAAGAATATTAGCGTAGGTTACTGAAGAGGAATTTTAAGAAACAAAGATCTAGAAAACAAAAACAACAAAATCAAGTGAAATAAGTCACAATTTTAACATCTTGTCTGCCGAAATTGAGGCAGAGTAGAAATACATTTTGTTCTGTTTAAAATTGGCTTGGAACAAACGACGGGTTATAACTAATTTTTTCTATTTCTAGGTGGTGGGTATGAGTATTCGATGCCACCGCCACCACCGCCTCTGTACCACCATCCAGCGGCCGTCCCACAAACACACGTGGTAGAAGAGTACACTGTTGAAAGGGACAGCCATAGTCTTGGGTTGGCCGACCTCTTCGACATATCGTTGACTGGAATCGCCTTCCTTTCTTTTGGCATGTTCATTCTACAAGTCCTCATGTGTATCACTATGGTAAGTGTATCTTGGTATGAATTTAGTTCTAAAATCTATATGACAGATAACAATTCTTTATAACCTGTTTAATTTTATTGAAAATAACAACTTCATTGCGTGAGTTAACAGACTCTTATTCAAGAGCAGCATGCGTGACGCTACGACGCGCGACAATTCGTAGAGATTTTTTAGGGCTGATTTTTCAATGGTTTGATAAAAGTTACCTACCAGGGGAATAATTATGATGCTATCGCGTCAGAATGTTTGTAGAAGACAGTGACAATTTGTTTCCTCAGGTAACATTTATCTGACTATTAAAAAATCAGCGCTTAGGTGATTCACGTAAGTCTTTATTACCAAGATACCAACAAATTTACAATGTCTCACGATAGTTACTATACCTACCTATTTAAATAATATGGTCAATCAATTGTCTTGTCGTATTGCTTATGACTAGTAGGAGATTCAAATTATAAAATCTTTACGTAGTACTTGTTATAGTAGCCACTTACCTACTTACCCTGCTTCTTGCTGCTAGACGAGTCTCCACATAAGCCACTGCTTCGCTGCAATTTGTCGAGTTGCACTTACCATCGACTTAATCTACTTGCTACTATTATCGGCATGTAAAATTACAACCAAGGGGGAGGCCTTTGTAAGGGGGAGGCCTTTGTCCAGCAGTGGACGTCTTCCGGCTGATGATGATGATGATGAAAATTACCACCATCTGATCAATACATTTTTTTTCTTCTAAAATACCTATGCACCACAATAGGATATCTTCCTGTGTTGTGGATACGTTTACAAGCAAACAATACGGTAGTTTCCAACTAGTCAAATTCAATACTTTTATCCAAATGTTAAAAACTATAACTTTGTATGAAACACTGAGTTATGACATCATAGAATTTTAAGTCAAATAGCTTACCTACTTTTTCATAAAAAAATCTAAAAAATATCTAAAATTTAGTGATGAATAAAAGTATAGTTATTTTTCTATATTTTATTGTATTGAAATGTCCAATTAATTTAATTTTCACCTAGGAAACTATCCAATTTCACATACACAACACACCCAGACCAGGAATAGTGGGTCACACAAAGAGTTGTCAAAGATTATTTACAACACTACAACATGAACTCTTATTTAAGGAAACAATATATCTTCATAGCTCATATTTCAATTTTTTTTCATCTAGAATCCACAACAACCTCAAGTAATGCAAATGGTGGACAACAGCGGTGATACGGTTAACGTTGACGATGTGTTTCGCGTAAAGCGGGATGCACAAGAGCGGTCGATTCCTGCTGTGAACATGATGGCGCGGTATGCGTTGTTGGCGCTGCGACCACGCTCCACTCCCTGTCTGTACCGAGCTTTATGTGTTGGGAACAAACGAGCTCGGGAAATACGCGAAGGAAACTGGTATTGGTTGCCAGTATGGCAGTAAGTATATGGCGACTTGAGAAGCACCTATAACTTATTTAAATTTTTAGTATCCCAAACAGGAGGAACTAGGATTAAGTAGTTGCCTTCTCAGTAGGTAGTAGGTAGTGTTTATCTGGAAATTACTTATATCGACGACTGCCATCACCTTTATATAGAAGAGTAGGTATTTTTTTTCAAGTAGGTAAGATTGTTTTGTTGTTTTTGTTGAAGCTTGTATCTTAAAGTGTGAGTAGGTGTGTCATTACAATTACAACGCACATTAGTCCGGTCAATTAATACATTCAAGGTTACATAAATTCATAAGAAGCTGAAAATTGGCACAATTGTTCAAAACATGATTATAAATGAAACCTCAAAAGTCCCCATCGTTCCGAGGTGTGCTAAAAATATTACACGAGGTCAAAGGTCAAAAAAATGAGTTTTTTGCGATTTTAAGCGAAACGGTGAGTTTTTCGCAAAATCACCCCAGTACAAAATTGTAGATCAGAAAATTCTCTACAAAAAAGAAATCAATAATTTTTTTCCTAAAAACCACCATTTTGAAGATATAACGCGTTGAAAAGTTCGATCATTGGTAATCTTCATACTTAGCACACGTTTCCACGCCACCTATGAGGTAGTGTACTGAGCGCGTTTAATTTAACGTGGTATCCCCTGTAAAGTACCCGTGGAATAGGCCTACCTATTCCACGGGTCTGCAGTGATTTTATTTGTTTAAAAACTATTGTAAAATATTATTGTATATATCGGTTGGTTAAAATAATGGCGGTGCAATTGAAAATAAAATGATTAATCTTCTTCGTCTGATTTGTAATTTTCCAGGATTATTGTTTCTTGTTCTTCGTCTTCTACTTGTTCTTCTTCCTGTTCTTCTTCTTCTTCTTTTTCTTCTATTTCGCAGAGCAACTGTCCCACTAGCGATTCCTCATCGGTATCAAATGAGTCTTCGAGATTAGCTGACTCAACATTAGAGCACGATCGGCCTTGACAGTTTGTGCATGCCAGGGAACAAAACAGTCCAACTTTTCTGCATCCACATTTAGCATTGCAACCTTTTTTACAGTTGCAAAATATTGAGTTGAGAAGTTTCTCAGGTGCTGGTGGAAGTAAAGTTAGAACTGGCTCTAATGTATTGTCGACCAACTTCCAACCCCAGTCCTTAGGGTCCAGCTAATTACCAAGCCACACTTAAACTTGGTAATATACCCGAAATAAATGTCGGTGAGCAGCTACTGAGGTTGGAGGTAAAGAAGCTAATTGTACTTGCTTTTTATTACGCGTATTTTTAACAAAAGTTGCGTATCGCAACTTATCTAAGCAAGTGGTTTTTTTAGGAGCTCCGTACATAGCGAGTAGAAATTGAATTCCGCTGTTGATAACGTCTGGTTGAGTTGAGTCACTATTTTTAAAAACTTCAGCACATTGAAGTAAGTCTTTTTTTTCAAACATTTTGAAAACGCAGACAACAGAATAAAAGACAGATGTTATCCCAAGGTTACACTGTACAAGTTTAGGAACGGGGGTTTATTATACCTGAGATTTTCATATTTTAACTTATATTGTACAGAAATAAGTTACAATCACCAATAGCAAATTAATTTAAGTTATAACACCTTATAAGTGATATTCATACGTGGCGTACATGTGCAAAGTATGAAGATTACCAATGATCGAACTTTTCAACGCGTTATATCTTCAAAATTGTGGCTTTTAGGAAATGACAGAAATAAATGCAAACGATCCGATACATTCATGAGCGTTGACCGACGCGACGGCCGACGGCTACCAAACATTAATATACTTACATATGTAACAAAATAAACATTTTAAACATTTTTAAACAACAGTGCAGGTGTGGCGTGGACTCGAGGTGGAGCATTAGGAGCTCTTCGAGCTGCAGTCCTGGGTCTTGGTGGAGCTGACTGTGACCTTCATTATCCCCGAGCACAATGCGCCAAAAATTCTTGATTAAGTTCTTTAGATAGATCTACTAGTACATAACAATTATGTAGTCACTCTGTTATTAATTAAAGATATATACAAGATATTTAATTAAAATGGGTCTATAAACTACGTTTCTTTCATCAAATACAACGATATATAGGAAAATATTGATACACAGTTCCTAAAAAAATTGCAAGAAAGACGAGTAGATACTTACGAATGATACCGACACTAGAGTTATAGACGCTCTAAAACGATAAAACAAAAGAAGTGGAAACGATAGAAATTGCATATAATTAGCACAAAGAGAGAACTCGAATGGAACAAGGGATAGCACTGAACTAGAAGAGGCCTTATACGATATAGGTTGATTACATAACGTGTATTGTCTCAATATGGGTAAAGGAGATTATATGTATACATAAATAAAAATGAATAAAGAATTTTGGAGGTGATCTATATCAAAGAATGGATGCGAGTAGCAGAAGGAGATGTATAGAAGGTTGGTGACACAGTATTATCGTATGCCTGTCCTATTCATATGATGTTAACACATATACATATGTGGTATAGTATAGAATACATGTATTCTATACTATACCATAACATAGCTGATAGCTACAAATGAAAACGGAACATGTCGTGTTAAATAAAAAAAAAATAACAGTAATATCAGAACGAATATTTTTATTGCTTACGACATTTGCTTTTTAATTCAATTTCAATAATATTAAGTAGTTTAAAACTTAATTCTCTATGATATGTACATTTCAATTTACAATTTGGACAATGATAACTAAATAATAATTTACTAATTTAATACTACAGTTAATAGCCAGTAGGTAAGTATTTACGTAAATAGAAGACAATAAAGTTATCTAAGTTGTGTCATGCCTTTTATTTTTGAAGTAACTTAATTTGATCATAATGAGGTGACACTAAACTACTGTAGATATATTTGTTAAAACAGTAGTCATTAGCAACGAGTTTTTTTCTAATTTAAACGCATTAAATTGTATGCTATAGGCCCAATCCCCACCCAATCCCCCCCGTCCTCAATCCTCCAAGCGCCAATAAACTTTTTTTTCAGGTTAAAATCAAATGACTTCTCCCGCCTAGGGTAAGGCGAGAGAGAGAGTGTTAGACACTTACTGACTAAAAAACCCCAGGTCCTTCACCTCATTGCGCTTGCCCCGCAACCCCGGCTGAACATCATCCCTGTAGGGCCCCGTCTGTGGTGGTCTATTGGCTCTTTGAGGCGCTCGTGGAACGTGACGCGCCGTACGCTCGGGTCTGGTTCTGGTCGGGCAGAGAGCTACCCTTACTCGCCGTCCGCAGACCCGCGCTTACGGTGGCCGGAGATCATCTCTCGAAGCTCCTATACCCTAGTAACCCGACTAGAGGTCGGCAACGCGCTTGTAGTAAATCCTTTGGTAATACGAGTGTCTATGGGCGGCGCTGATTGCTTACCAGGTAATCCATCTATTCGTTTGCCGACCTATGACATAAAAAATGCTGTATTTACGACAGAATTGAAAAGATCCTAGAAGGTAATGTATGTAACTAAGCGACGATTCAAACAAAAAAAAGGTTTATGCTATTAATTTTAAAATACACTACGTTATTTGAAAACTGGGAAAGAAAACAAATGTCGAAACTCGTGCTAGACTCCCTGAATGTATTCTATGCGTGTTACATTTCACACCTTTGATTTAGGACGATACGTACGAACTAAGTGACAAAAGTAGCAAGTTAAGTAATTATGTACAGTTCGCAGAGCAATCAAAATAGTTAACACATTAATGAAATAGAACAAACCAACCTAGTGCCGCGATGACGAAATACCATAAAGCTATTAAAATAAGAATCAACTGTTTTTACAGTCACAACGAATACGTTTGGAATTATCAATGAGATTATTCTACAACGATCGACACTTGAATGAGAATGTAACATACTAATGTTATTTTAAAAACCATTATATAAGAACAAAATGTTACATTGATATTTAATACATAGGTATAAGTTGATCAGTTTATCCGATTTTAACAAAATCGGTCACAATTTTCCATAGCTACTACTGCAATTTCATGATCATTTTGTATGCACATATTGTATGTGTGAGATCTATCTACTTGTACAGAATGAAATGCCAATGATTTCTTAGGTTTATCATTAACAATACTATGTTTAGTACAACCGATCTGTGTTTATTCGCCTTAAAACGCTCTGTCAAATATCAACTTTCTTATTTGTAAAAGTTGTAAGATACGTTCATATGCCTATTATTAGGCTCCTAAATTATGTAACTACGGTGGTGAAGAAGGCAAAGTTACCGGTGTGAAAACGCAGCTAAGCGGTGTATAAGCATACGGATTAAGTAAAGAGTATGCCGGAGGAGCGTGTCCAAAGATTTGTCCCGGGAACAAACCTTGTCGTTGAGCTATTTTCAATCGTGATGTCAACTGCTTCTTCCATTTTGTCCGTCTATTTTGAAACCACGTCTTTATTTGTACCTCTGTAAGACCTAAAGCTTTGGACAGTTCCATTCTTTTCGATACGCTGAGATATTTGTCAATCTTAAACTCTGCTTCCAGTCGCTCAAGTTGTTTAGCACTGTACGCTTGCCGTGGCTTTCTCTCCGGACCTGCTCTACGTGGTCTTCTATTATTCTTGTCATCTACAAAGAAAAGAGCATGATAAGCAACTTTTAATTTGGTATGTTTCGTAAGTGTGAATAAAAAACAGCACGTTCATAGTTTTGAGGTTTTGAAAGCATCTCCTTCATTTACAAAGTAGCTGCTCTCCCTAAAACAAATACGTAGTAAAGTTTTTTCGAACACTAATCGGAATTGTCACAGGTTCTCGTTAAGTGTCTATAAACACAATCAGTCTGTTTGTGTTTCGCCTGCGCAGTTTGACATCTCGCGTGTCAACACCGCATTGTGGTTGGTGTATGTGCGCCGGTCGTGCTAATCGACTGCTAACTATTTACGTAACCGTTTTATGATCCTCCAGACTCTTCAGCCATTTTAAAACTTATTATAGCATAAAAGAAAATTGTTTTGTTAAGTTACACTCAATTGACCATTGATTTACACTTGAATCTTGAGTCATATACAACGGTACACGAGTTAAAAAATGTTATTCAATTTTATTCAAATTGAAGTGATTCTACTTATAATGTTAGTAAATTGAAATTGCTCTTTGTACTCGAAGAATTTGTTAGAATATGGCCCATCACGGCCGGCACCATATATTTCTTTCTTTTTATTCTTGCTATCTGTCACATTGTTACTTCGTACTGGTAGCCATCTACATATATTTATGTGCACTATTTTAAATATGTATTTGTAAACTATTTGCACCAACTTTTGCAACACCCAAGGTTATTTTAAGAAATTGTGTCAGGGTGAGTTCGAAGTAACTTTTTGTGGCTTTTTATAATTTTCAGAACAGTCTTGCTACAATCAGGTCTTAAGTCGTGACCCACGTATTTGATTATTTAGTATCTATAACTTGTGAAACTTTCTTTACTTTAGGGGTTGTGACATATGGAAATATTTCATCTATTTTGTTAGATGAATTAGTATAAGTACCATGAGATATTATTATCATTAGTCACCAATCATTTTCAAAATTGGGAGTGAGATAATGATCATATCTTTTAAAGCCGTGAGAGTACTTAAAAAGAATATCTGTAAGTACATAGTTAAACCAAGAAAAGGTAGCTTCAAATATTTAAAATCATCTAGGTAGAGAAGTCAATGTAACTAGACAAATTCTTAAGTCGTGCATCGTGCACCTAAATATGAAGTTCCATGACAAAATTCCTATAAAAATTAACGTTGTTGACAAAGCCTATTTCTCGGTACGTAGTGCATAGAGGTATGGTGTAAACCGAGTTTCTGGATAGAATTCGATCACAGTGAGGTTCTTGTTAAGGCGATGCACAAACACGAGAGCTTTGTTGGTAATTATCGTCGCGGCAGCTGTTTGCCGACACCTCGGTGCGAAGTCGCGACCACCGACCGACGGCTGGGGACATTTCGTCGAATGTGCGCTCGTACTAATCGCGCGAACCATAACGCTATGTGTAACCAAGCTGTTGGGCGTTACAATTAGTTACAACGGTCAACAAACCGTGTTAACACCAGTTTTACAAGGTACCTACGCCAACGTGTGTCACTGAATTTAACATTTTCACAGATGGTCATTGGTTATCTCCTTTATTGGCCATTTCCTGTCATGAAGAACCTGCGAAATCTTCTATTGTTAAGTTTAAATGTACAAATAATTATTTTAGAAAACTGATAAGTGATCGGTTTGCGGTTTCATCGAATAAATTAGCACAATTTATTTGCAAGAAATACAGTTCTGTTACGCGGGTCACGAGCAGGAACGAACGGTTAAGAAAACTTTATCAAGATGTACATGTTATTGGACATGAATTGGATAGACTTAGTGAAAAACAGATAAACAGATGAATTTTTAATTTGTACTTGAACATAATGTTGCTTATTATGTTTTCGGCTTATTCCCGTAATAATTTGACGAGAAACTCGTCTAGTTTCAAGCCGCCGCGTCGCGTGTCGCGGAATGCTACACATGAATATGGGCCTCTAGCAAGGCTTGAAACTAGTCGAGTATCTCGTCAAATTATTACGTGAGTAAGCCGAAAACATAATAATTAATTTAGTATGTCTCACGAAAGTTATAATCAAAATGTTGTTGTTCAGCCTTGTGCAGCTACCACGATAAACTTTACATAAAGTCAAAGAATGTCAAATGTCAACGTCGTTGTGTCACAAGTTGACATAGAAAGTTTGAATTTGGACCCCCGGGCTATTCCCGGAGGTTACACACTCACACTAATTTTATAGCCACTGAAATTCCTCCTCGCTGCTGAGTCAAGAAATATGACAAATCTGTGACAAATATACAGGTTGACTTAATGTTTACCTTTGTTTTGACTTACAGGATGATTCACCTTCATTACTGGTAAATAAAGATTCGTTTATGGGTTTTTCCGTGGCTAAAGTGATATTTATTACATTGCATTCCGCTTGGTTGTATACCTTCTTACATGAAATATTTTTAATTTTCCTAGTAAATTTTGTGGATACTATTATTTGTAGCCATCCTAGGTAAGTCCAATAAGACAATAAAGTTTATGAACCAAAAATGTTTATAGAATTTTTTATTTATCAGTGGTGTTTTCAAATCCTTGTCGTTAGGCCCTTGTTTTTGTATTATACACCTTTTGGATGGTATTAGGAATGAAAACGCCGAATTATATTCATCTGCCTACCTAAGGATAGAGTTACCGTCGCTAATAATTTTTAGCACTGGTTTGAATAATATGTATACTTGTAGATACCTACTGCAACTCTGGCGCAATGTAGAGCGGCTGTTATGCTTCATGTCGCGTAGTATGCTGAAGACTAAATATTGCGGTGTTTAAGAGGGACACTTTTGTTTAAAACTGTCTAATCGATTAGGCGTTTTTAGTTATTTATTTATTTAAGCTTTTGCACAAGCACGTGTAGTACGACTTACGAGGTTGATTAAATGCCACAGGCATCCTTTGCCAGCCGAATATGGCTTAATTAAAAAAAACTCATAGGTGATAAAGATTTTTTTTTTGCTTTTGTACTTGACATTTAGTAATCACTACAAAGGAAGTTTCATTAAGTTTTATGGTAATTTTTATAGTAACTTATACACTCTGAGCTTTTAATTTAAAATATTCAAACGAGTATTTTGTTTCACATCATAACAAAAATCACATCAAAATTAAGTTTATAAAAACGCGAGTTTTAAAAAATTACTTGTATTTACTACAAATTGCAGTGGATTTTCATCAGTAAAATCGCCCTTAGGTCAAGTGCCACCAGCCAGGGTTGCGGGATAAGCGCAATGAGGCACCGCGACCTCGTCCCAGAGCAGGAGAAGGATCGGGGGGGTTTTTAGTCATTAAGAGTCCGACGCTCTCTCTCGCTTTACTCTGGGCGGGAGAAGTCATTCGATGAAATTCCCCTGACAAAAAAAGCCCAAGTGCCACCGACTATATAATGTAGTCTGGATTTAAGTGGATTTAGGAGTCGTTAGCCCAGAAATTTGACAGAATCTGAATTTTAATCATGGACATTCTATTTTCTGTGGGGTTAATCATCAGATGAATATTTGCCCTGGGTAGGGCAAGAGGGAATGTCAAACTCTTACTGGTTAAAGACCATCCTGTTACGGCTGTAGTATATAATTGCTTTTGAACTCGCAACCCCGGCCTAGGGCGTATCTGTGGTGGTATGATAGGTAGCGTAGCTCTTAGAGGTGCACGCGGAACACGGAGCGACGTAAGTACCAAAGTAGTGGACAAATGGAAATTGTGGTAAATATAGAATAAGTGAATACCATAATGCATGCCATAAGTTTATGGCTTAAGATAAAGAAAAAAACAATTTGCAAATGATTACTCCACAAAAATAAAAGTGTAATTATAAAATTTCTGTGTTGTTAGCGTATTAGCGTCATGTAGCTATTAGCCGTAAGAAACAATTCTGTGTAATACAAATGGTCGTTGTAGGTTATTTGAAATGTTTAAGTCTCTTAACACACCCAAGGCAGAGGGGCAAATATCAGTCAGAAAACGGTTATTTTTAAAAAAGAAGTGAGTTCTATTATATTTTGTTTACAAGTATTAAATTAAATTAAAATTAAAAATTGTTTATTTTTTTCCACCACATATTTACAGGTACAGTTTAAGTTGTACAGATTCTACATAGATATAGTAGTAGTAGATTATGGGGGTAGACTGGAGCCTAAACTAGGGAAAACCCTGTATTTCAGGCCTCCAGGACACTTACCCACGCTATGGATACAATTTAAGACATAACTATGCAATACTAGTAAGATAACACATTATGGGCATATGAATTGTTAAAAATTTTTTTTTTTATTATTTGATGTGTGTAGGTATGTAATGTGTATGTGTTTGAGAGAGAGATGTATGTTACTTTACGATAGTTATAAGGGATTCAGTGTCTGTAGTCAGTATGATCTGAACTAGGATAATAGTGATGAATAAATAATATAAACAATTAGATATTATGTGGAGAGGGCTGATTGCGTGCGAATTAGGCGTGCGAAGTTTCACACCGGGTGTAGTTGCACGCGATTGTAGCACGCATGCAGGATACTTATGTTATTTTATTAATGTTTATGATGTTGAATGGGTTCCAGGATTAATACGAGAACTAAACAAATTTATTATAGTTCAATTTATGCATTCTTTACATTTGTTAATGCATAGTAAGAGTATTTGGATGACTGAACTTTGCTCGGTATATTTATATAGGTATGTTTTTCCAAAATGGAACCTAGAATTTTATTCGGAAACCTTTAACTCGAAAGCCGCTTCTATGATAAGTTGATCGTTTAAAGGATTTGAACTTTGGAAGGATAGTGTATTCATCATTTAAGTAAGCACAAAGTTCAGGTATGTATATGAATGGGGCGGTCCGACCAAAGGTATACGACGGCTTCACAGAAAACCGGAGTGGAACAACCAGCATTGTGTTTCGTAATGTGAGGTTACTGGAGGCCTAATCGTTTTCATATTCCTACCCCAATCGCCAAATCCATCAAACCTTAAACAAAACCAACCAAACTATTCAATCAGTCTTTGAGTGCTGACCGACAACTAATGAAGGCAAATCCTCCGCTACCGTAACCCAACGATGACATATTAAAGAAAAAATAGTAATAATATTTTTTTTATAATATTATATAATCTTATAAAAAGTTATTTACCATAAAGAGCAGCGGAAGGTTGATGCGTAGCAAGCCAATGCGCGTACGCATGTCCCGCTAGCAACCCTGCGTCATTCAACGCGTTTAGCTCCGGGCACGTCGATGTTGATGATACTGTGGGAATAAAATAATGTTAGGTAAATTAGTATATACTACTCTGTCAAGAAAGTACCGGGAAAAAGTCAATAATACACAAAATGTTTGTTATTTATCTAAATTTATTTTATCACCTTCAAAGTATGCTCCTTCAGAAACGATACACTTACGCCAACAAATAATCCAATCATCGAAACTTTTTTTAAACGCTGTTTCCGGAATTGAGTTCAGTGCTCGCCGCGAATTCTTCTTTATGTCTTCTAACGATTGAAAACGGGTGCCACGAAGGGGTAATTTGAGTGTGGGAAAAAGAAAGAAGTCGGCTGGAGCCATATCTGGTGAATATGGTGGCTGCTCGATGGTGTTTGTTGAGTGTTTGGACAAAAAATCGTTTACAATGATGGCCTTGTGCGAAGGCGCATTATCGTGATGCAAAATCCAAGAATTTTCTTTCCACATTTCTGGCCTTTTTCGTCGAATTTGTTCTCTTAAACGCCGCATAACGCTCAAATAATATTCTTTATTTACCGTTTGACCTTCGGGCAAGAATTCTGAGTGCACAACACCGCGATAGTCAAAGAAAACAGTCAACATGACTTTGACTTTTGATCGACTTTGACGTGGTTTTTTCGGTTTTGGTTCAGTTGGAAGGCGCAATTCCGAAGCTTGTTGACTAGTTTGCATGTCAAACTCGTAAACCCACGTCTCGTCACCAGTAACAATGCGTTTCATGAATGTTGGGTCGGTATTGACTCATTCTAGCATGTCCTCAGAGACTTTCATGCGATTTAGTTTTTGAAGAAAATTCAGGTCTTTTGGGACTAGCCGAGCGGCAACACGTTTCATACCCAAATTATTTGTTAAAATGGTACGGATCGACTCGTGAGATACAGAAAGTTCGGCGGCCATCTCTCTCAAACTGGAATGAGGATTTTCAGTCACTATTTCCTTCACTTCTGCGATGTTAACTTCAGTTGCAGACGTTGATGGCCTACCAGAACGAGGCAAATCTTCCATCACATCTCGACCGCTTTTGAACGCTTTGTACCACTCATAAGCACGTGTTTTTGATAAAGTCGATTCACCGTAAACCTTCTGTAACATTTTGAGTGCTTCCGAACACGAAATTTCATTGGCGATGCAAAATTTAAGACAAACTCTTTGTTCGATGTTTTTGCCCATTATGAAATTCGCAATACACACTAGATATTATAAAACTAAAAACAGCACTGTTTTTTAAATAAATAACAGATACAACTCAAATTCCGCGCCAAAATGGAAAACAGTTATGCCAATCTAACAACAACAAAAAAAATTAAAATTCGAATTTGGAACCATAAAAAAAACATTCATTCCCGATACTTTGTTGACTGAATGTATATTTAATGAAATGAATGTTCAGAGCTATCAGCACCTTCACAAGAAATCTAAGAGTTTTAGGAAGTTGAAGAAGGGCTCTTGAGCGTTAAGTATATAATAACTTTTCTAAACTATATATTTTAGGTAACCCCTAATGTCTCTGAGAACAGAATTTTATTTTTTTAATATACCATAAGAGAGAGAGAGAGAAATACTCTCTCTCTCTCTTTAAATTTAGCTACCGATAATGGTGTCTGTCATTTAAATTAAAACGTGGACTGCTTAATAAATAATGTAAAAATGTATGTAGACTAATAATTTAAAATTGGAAGACCATACAATGATTTATTATTAAATGAACATTGAACATAACATATTTAGAAAAAATCTGGCCTAGTTCGCGACGGATAAAATCATGTAGGTACCTACTTATTTGTTGCATGTGATACGTGGACAGATAAGTGACTGATGGACAGAACGAAGTACGGGCAACGCAAGCAACAAGTCTTAGTAATAGGGTTCCCGTTTTTGCGTACAAGTTGCTGTACCCGAAAAAGAGAAATAAGGCCCAGATTGAGTACCTTCTTCCTCGCCCTCCTTGAATTGACACATTGGAACAGTCAATAACTTTGGGAGAGGAATAAAAGACATGTTATAAATTTTAAAGAGATTAGACACATGCTTTGGTATGTAAAAAATATAACTACATGGTAGTGGTACCACCACTACTACTAAAACAGACTTGAACATAGGTATAATTTCCAATTTAAGAAATTGTTAGGTATGTAGGTTGTATATATGGTTTGTTGGTTGGATTTATAAATTGTAAAGTATGCCAATACTAACTTGATTAAATGAGAACGATATTTACTATTGTTTATTTTATTTTTAGTTTAGCTTTTTTATTATTGTTAATGTCGGTTAGAAAATAACTGACTAAATTGGGTAGGTATGTACTGTTAAAAAATTATTGATAATTGGCAAGTCATTTTTTTTATTACCTTTGCTACAAAAGGAATATCCTAGATATTCCTTTTAACTGCAATAAAACTGTGTGACACCTAGATATTGATTATATTACAAAGTTACCTTTTGTAATAATGATAATGGTAGTTTCTTAAACATTAATCATATTCTTCATTTTAATAAGGTTCATTTTTACTGACCTCTAAAAAGTCTAAATGAAGGTATTAAAATACTCTTACCATTGTGTTCATCCGTACTTTCTTCAACGTTGTCAACATCGTCTAAAGTTTTATTACTAATAAGTTTAGAACTGTTACTTTTATTGTTTCCTAAAATACTGTCTATGAGAAACGTTTTACTTTTACCATGAATAACACTGTTCACAGAATCTTTCGCACTATTATTCGACGCTTCACTTCCATTTCGAAGGTTTCTTAAATTATCAAATGCCTTCGTTGGAAATATTACTCGACTTTGTTCAAAAAAACACAATTTATCAGCATTCAGTAAAGGATTTATTACGTTTTTAATGTGTTTATTTTCCAGATTACGATGATTTGACTGTTCACTGTTATCACAAATATCAATCGTTTCATTTTCACTATCATATTCGGTTTCTGATTCACAATCGTAGCTTGAGTCTCTTTCAGTACCGCACATCACACTATTATTATCTGCGTTACGAACGTAGTCGTTTTCACAAGTACTTGAAATATCGTCAGTCGCATCCATGATTACAAAGATAAGCTTAATAGTTATAACTTCATGTTCTTAAATAGCCTCCCCACTTAAAAAAAAACCTATCTACATTAGCACTTCACTCAACATTCAAACATTTGCCGCCGAGATTAAAACCGACACTAAATTTCTTTGCCTCGAGTTTGCCGGAAACTGATAATTGCATCCGAAAATAGGTGGTGCCAAGAAATCGTCCGCGGAGGCTGTAGGTATGAACGAGGTGAGATTCTCTAACGCTACTGGCTACTTTGTAGGTGGAGGGGATGGCGCCATCTTAAGTAGGTGGGGCTTCGATAACCGCCTGTGAAAATTCACACCTTTCTTTTATTTGATAACACGTTATGTCAGAGCTCTTTAGCTCACAAAGGATCTCTAAAAGCTTATGATGAGGTGAGGATCCAATTTCTACCGGTTATTGTTTGATTAATGTCGCAGATTTAAGTGATTTATTGTAAACGATCCGGATGCTTAATGCGGTGTTATTGAAGGGAAAACATGTTTGGATTTTTTTAATACGGTGTGTTGAGGAGTATTGAATGATTTTATGCGTCTTGTAAGTATGTGTTTTGTGTAGGTACTTACCGCAATACTTTAAAAGTAGTTCTTATTTTTCCTACTGATTTCATTTGTAGGTAGTCTGTTTCCTCTAGATTTGATAACTGACAACTGCGATGCTGAATTAAGAAATTGTTTAGTACTTAAATTAATTGATATTTTCTGCCCATCCGTTTCCACCCTAACCCAAGCGAGTTTGAATACAGTCATATCAGTCATGTTCTATGCAGCATTGAGTCCACGTGCCAAACTTTGGCTTAGCAATGTTTTGTTTCTTTTATTAAGGAGCTTTGCGTGTGGAGCGATTTCCTTACCTTTAAGCTTTCGCGTTTCACATTAACAACATAATTATTTACGCGGGTATTAATCCAATGATTCGCAAAACACAAACTCGCTTTCCTTCGAAATCGGTTAACGCGTCTGTGGATACAGTCAGCGTATTGTGTAGACGGCCTAATTTGGTAGAAAATTAAAATAAGGGGGTAGATGAAGATTCATCGCCCGAATGCAGGGAGCTGTGACATCGCATTTTCAGTCTGCTTATGACTACGACCTGTGCAACCTGGTCGAAACATCAAGCCTACCAAGGTATTCAAATAATAATTTTCCGCGTTAATACCCGCTTAAATATGGAGCGATTTACGCTGAGGAAACTGTACCTTAACACTTTTTTCGCTCTTACTATCATGCTTATCCATCATGTGTATTTCTGGAATAGTAAGGTAGAGGTGCATATATTATTAACAGATCACCACAAGTGGAAAGAATTTGCGTTCGGTGGAATTGTATCCAGTGATTGGAACCAGTCTGCCAAACTAATTTATACTAATACTTTTGCTAAACTAATTCTAAGTTCATGGGGCAACCTTAGGTTACAAAATCTTCGCTTTATATGCTCTAATACCAACTGTCGAGCTAATTTTTTTATGAAGTTTCCTCTGTCAGTTTGTCTTCCCACATGTACATATAGCATGTAAAAGATGAGAATTGACGGAACTAATATCCAAAATCCGGTAAAAAATTGTCATAGCCGCCGATCAAGACGCTGGGTCTTTATGCTATTTAGCTATGACAATTATTGCAAGTATACACAGAGTACTTCTTATCTATTTCATCTACTCCGCCTTTCGTAGAATTATAAATCTATAAATTCTAGTTTCCCTGAGTCCGAGTTTGTTCCTTCATTACGATGCATTGATGAAGCTAAAATGACCGCTTTTCCCTTCTTGAAAACGAGACAATAACGTTGTATCTTTTGTGAAACCGTATAAGGTTGATTATTCTGGTCGCACAACTATTTCGCTTATTAGCGGAAGTCCCTGGTGTATCCATACCTAGTTCATAATATCTGTAATAATACCAGTTTGCTATAACAAAAAAAAACTTACGTTAGTACCGACGTGAGGCCTGAGAGACCGCGTCGGAATTTCAAAACGTTATTACTCACCAAATACGCATGCGACAATAACACTGCCTGTTCAACGTCAACATGGGCACTAAACTTACAGCTACTTAAAAGCGGGGATTGATATTGTGCGGGGTAAAGGGTAAACTAACAATTCAAGTACCTGCCGGGGCCTCTCAGACCGCACGTCGGTTCTTAAAGGTTGTCTAAGAATGAAAACGACCTGTCCGTCCCTAGCTCATAAGTAAAGCGCATTTTTTGGGTGGATGCTGTTTAGGTGTTCTACATATTGACTTACTTCTTGTTCATTGAGTTCAAATACAGCATTCTCAAGGGAGGTGAACAAGAAGTAAGTCATCTACATACGTCTTTGGCCGAGGCTCAATGCCTGTTTTTTAGAAGTAAGTATTTTCATCCCAAGATTAGCTAATTCAGGGGCCACCGTACTTCCCATGGCTACGCCATTGATCTGAGGGTAATATTTATTGGATGAAATTTTATAAAAGGAGTTTGAATATGTTTTGTTTATCTTTGTCTTGTTTTTATTTTTCCATTGTAACGCTAGGTGGCGGCATTGTGTGTGCATTCTGAATACGGCGACTGTCATGTCGTTGTAAAATTTTTCTTATAACTTTTATTAAAATAAAACGTTTAAGTTGTGTCAGAAATCTTGTTTATTAACCTGATTCAAACAGGTTATGGGCCCAGGCCCACGTTAATGTAAAAGTGGTGATAAACAAAGAGCAGAGAAAACATAAGTTGTTTGTAATTTTCGAAAAAAGAAACGTCTTTTTCTTTGAACAAAAATGGAGCTCGGAAAGACAAATTTGGAAAAATTCGACGGAACGAATTTTAAACAGTGGAAATTCCAAATTAAATGTGCCCTGCGTGCCAAGGGGCTAGATATTAACACGCCAAAGCCGGATGGAAAGGCGATTCAATGGAATAAAGATGATGGCATGGCGATGTTCGTGATAACGTCTGCCATGGATTTGAATCAAATAGCACTCATCGAAAATTGTGATACAGCACTAGAAGTAATGACCAAGCTTGAATCCATTTATGAACAGAAATCTGAGATGACTAAAATGATGATCCATGAGCGATTCTATCAATACAGAATGTCACCAACAGACAGTATAGCTCAGCATATTGCTAAAGTTGAGAGTTTGGCTAAGCAACTTAAAGAAAGCGGAGAAACAATTAGTGAAACTGCAATCATAACAAAAATCTTGAGTTCACTACCTTCCAAGTACAGATCTGTTCGCCAGGCTTGGATGTCGCTTGATCCAAAGAATCAAACAGTCATTAACCTAACAGCTCGTTTGCTTGATGAGGAGGCCAGTTTGAGTATAGAAGATGACAATGAAATTGCTTTATTAGTTGCAAAACAAAATATGAAAAAGAAAAGTGTTCCATTGAAGAAAACTAACAAAGAATCAAATGAAAAGTCAAATGAAAACTCAACTGAAAAGTCAAATGAAAAAGCACATCGCTTTACATGCTACAACTGTGGTAAACGTGGTCATTTTGCTAGAGACTGCCGTGCTCCAAAACAAAAACAACATGGAGGTAAGAACATGCTAGCATTCCATGTAGCAATTTCAGAATTGAAAAATGATGATGGTTTAAAATGGATATTAGACAGCGGTGCTTCAGCTCACATGTGTTTTAAGCGAGAAAATTTTGCTGAACTGTATGAGTATACTGGATCTCCACTGAAACTCGGGAACCAAGAAGCTATAGAAGTGGCTGGTCGAGGAAATGTTTTGATAAACAAGTGTGTTAATGGGCAGTGGGAGACAAGTATCTTAAGAAATGTTCTTTATGTACCAAAGCTGAGGAGAAACCTGTTTTCTGAAGGAGCAGTGACAAGACAAGGTTATAATATTGTAAAGAAACATACAGATGCTTTAATATACAAGGATAACAAAGTAGTGTTATGTGCATCTTTGCAAAGCAACAATCTATATGAGTTAAACATAATAACACTTCAAAATCCAGTTTGTGATGTAGTACAAAAATTGGATCTTAAAACATGGCATGAACGTCTAGGACATATAAATGTAAAAGAAATACAGAAAATGTGCAAGAACAATGTAATTACTGGTGTGGATTTATCAGACTGTGACAAGTTTGTATGTGAGGGTTGTGCTTATGGTAAGCATGCTCGTCATCCATTCAAGAAATCAAACCGAGGACCACAGCAACCAGGTGATGTTATCTACAGCGATGTCTGTGGACCGTTCAGTGTACCATCTGTACAAGGTATGAAATATGCTGTAATATTTAAAGATGCTGCTACAACCTTCAGGTATGTGTATTTTTTAAAGAATAAATGTGATGTTTTATACTATTTCAAGAAATATAATTCAATGATTAAAAATAAGTTTTCACATAGTGTACGCATACTACACACTGATAATGGTGGAGAGTACCTAAGCAAAGAATTTAAAGAATATCTTGACCATGAGGGCATTACTCATGAGCTCACTGCACCATATACACCTGAACAAAATGGCCGAGCCGAAAGAGAAATTAGGACAATTGTTGAAAGTGCTCGATCCATGCTTTATGCTCGTAAGGTACCACTTTATCTTTGGGCAGAAGCAGTCAATTGTGCTGTTTATTTGTTAAACCGCACATCTTCAAGTCAGACACCAAATATTACCCCTATAGAGTTGTGGAGTGGTATAAAACCTTGTTTAGATCATGTCAGGGTGTTTGGATGTGAAGGATATGTACATGTGCCTGGGCAGTTGAGAAAGAAGCTTGACAGTAAAAGCTGTAAGATGATGTTAGTTGGTTATGATAATTCAAACTACAAAATGTATGATCCAATTACAAAAAGAATTACAATATCAAGAAATGTTATTTTCAATGAACATAAAAGTCCTGAAATAAATAAGAATGAAGCTGAAATTTTAATATATGATGATAATGAACAAAATGTTGAAGAGGAGTTGGATAATACAGAGTTGACTGAGAGTGATGAAAGTACACATACTGCCATTGATGAAAATGATGAGACTTATGAACCTTCGCAGGAAATTGAACTTTCAGATTTGGATCATTCAAATATTAC